GAATGTTTTGTTTTTTGGAAAATCCCTCCATGTTTACATATTTTTGCTATGACATGACGGACTTTTTCCGTTGACATTTTTGGTATTTTATTTGATTCCAATTTGAGATTTTATCATTGTATATTGTTATTCTTTCTATATTTTGTACTTATATTGAAGTTTTTGTGTTTGCTTCTGAACTGTACATATGTTGTTTAAATTTGATCTTTAATATGGCTACTGCCATATTTGGATTGATGCAGTGGCCGCTGGACTTAGCGTCACTTATCTGTCACTGTGTCTGATACTCTTCGGAGTAATTGTACCCTGGAAGAGGCACTATTTCCAGGTAATGCTTGTATTTCCATTTTTTAATTAATAAAGACGCTTTCTCCTAGAATTTTTGTCCTTTTTGAATTGGTTGGGACCCGGAACTGGGAAAATCGTACAGGAGTGCCCCTATTGGAACCCATTGGAACGGCCACTGTAGAAATTCATTTACAGTCTGGAAATATCTCTATGAACGATTATATTCTGGAAATATTCCTATGAACGTGTATATTCTGGAATTATTCCTATGAACGATTATATTCTGGAAATATTCCCAAGAACGTGTATATTCTGGAATTATCTATTACCTTTTGATAAGAAGAACAATTACAGTTGGATTATTAAGAATTATAAAGAAACATTTGGAATTTTAATCGTTTATCACACTAGACTTTCTTGAAAGAAGAAATTTGGATTATTTATCATATTCTTGAACTGAACTGTGGAATTACTATATTCTGTATTTGTTACTTTTCTTATACTGAACTTCATTTATGATGTCAAGTCGAAAAAAGTCAAACATGAGGAGGGTGGAAGAGCTCGACGGATCACAGAACTCTAAGCAAGTCGTTAATGATGAATTTTTTATGGGTAACCCACATGTTATGTCTGATACTTATTATTGTAAGTCACCTTTGGCAGGCATTAAGGAACCAGGATTAAGTGAGAGTTCTAAGGTACCAGAGACCGATCAGGTGCTTAGGACACCGATAATAGGCTTAGAACTACCTAAGGTCGAACTTTCATATTTTGATGGAAAGTCTCGCGACTACTTTAGGTTTATGCGCCAAATCGAAACGTTTATAGAACCCAGAATAAAAGATGACCAAGTTCGTTTATTGTATTTAATTCATTATTGTAAGGGAAAAGCAAAAAATGCGATTGAAGGCTGTATTATTATGGATCCACAAGCAGGATATAAGAGAGCTAAGGCCATTTTAAAACAGCTCTTTGGACAGTCGCATGTAATAGCCCGGGAAACCTTAGAGGACTTATTTAGAACTGGGAATGCAGATTTTAATGATCCTGAATTATTGACGAATTTGGCTATTAAAATGCAGAATGCTGCTTTAACCTTAGAACAGCTAAATTGCACAACGGAACTTAATTCCATGGTTACTTTAGAACGAATAGTCAGGCTCTTACCTCGTCGAATGCAAGCCCAGTGGGCAGAGCTAGGAATCAAGTGGGACGAAGAGGAGAGAGAGCCTAATTTCAATGAATTGACGGAATTCATTATGTCTCGTGCTAAGATAGCTAGTAGTAGGTTTGGAAGATTAGCTTATCGGGCTAAAACAGAACATAATACGGAAGCTACTAGTGGTCTGCGTGCGAGACATGAGGATTTTTCGTTTCTACCTAACGCACGCTCGGAAGATAAGAGAGTTGTCAATTATATCACGAAAGCATACGCTGATGAAGGACGAGTATGTGACCGTAACGATGTAAAACCTCTTGATGTGTATCCTAGTAAGAAGCCGGTTGGTGTAACAGATAAGATGGCTTTTCTAAGTATAGAAAAGAAAGAAAAAGGTGAAAAGTGTAGGCGTCAAGATGGATCCGAAGTGTGTGATGATAAAAGCCTCTCAGCTGCTCGAAAAGCCTGGAACGGTTATTTGGATTCGAGTAATCAGAGGTTAATGAGTTCAGTAAATATGAAGAAGGCCCAGGCAGGATTGTCTGAACGGAATAAAGCCTATTTCGGAACCCTTCAGTTAGGGTAAATTATATAACTGGACCTAGAGTAGATTCTAGGATAAGTGATGGTGGTACTGTAAAGGCTAAGAAGCCTAGGAGACAACATGATGCTACTATTATTAAGAAGCCTAAACCTCATGCTCTTTCGGATGCTATGACTAGCAATGGAAATAGTAGCCATCAGAACCTTAGTAGTGACAGCGATAATAAGGAGACAGAAAGTGTCAGCAGTCCACTTATAGTGACTAGTCTATCAACTTCATCGAATGAGCCTCCTAGTGTTTCGACGTCATCGGACCTCGTCACGAATGTTAAGTTGATTGAAGATGCACAAGGTTGTGCAACTGTAACTGTTCCTATTCCGGTTGACTGTCAGTCGAGTGATGATGAGAAGAAAGTGTTTGATGGTAACAGCCAGTCTACAGTGTTGTGTGATGACGATGCTATTGATGAGCATATGTCTTGTGTCTCTGAAACGGATGCTAATGCAGACCGAATCGACGCGACTTGTCTGACAGAACGGAATCATGATGACGTTGATAATAATCTGGATGTCACTGATGTGACAAATGAGTTACCGACGATGACGAATACTGATCAAACCTCCTCTGTATCAGGAGATGGAAAGATAAATATTGATCCCACGTCATGCTACTTAAAGTCTTCTGGAGACGATGAAATGTCAAAATTGGAGATCCCACCCTTGCATATTATCTATGGGTCAAGAATTTCTGTTGATAAGTTAGCATCACGGACTTCATTGTATCTGCTGATCGGAGCAAGTGGTGGTGGATTGGCGACTCGTCCCCATGATAGGGAATGTAGTTCCTGGATAGGATATGACCAGTTTTACGACGTGTTGTACATGTTCGTGTGGGTTAATTGGGTAAGGTTTATACTACCGTTAGGTCATGCCACGATAGATAGAGGAATCAAGGGCCTGATGGGAAAGTATAGGTACCTAGTTAGCATGATAGGTCATATCCATGTTGGATGGCGGGTAGGCGTACTGCTGTAAGTCCTACACGTTATTCCGGTGTGGATTAGGGGATAATTGGGAACCCTAAATAAAGTGTCATTAACGCTTGCTCTTTTTGCATGGAGGGATTTCGCGGGCCGGTGTAGAATCCTTTTTGAATGTTTTGTTTTTTGGAAAATCCCTCCATGTTTACATATTTTTGCTATGACATGACGGACTTTTTCTGTTGACATTTTTGGTATTTTATTTGATTCCAATTTGAGATTTTATCATTGTATATTGTTATTCTTTCTATATTTTGTACTTATATTGAAGTTTTTGTGTTTGCTTCTGAACTGTACATATGTTGTTTAAATTTGATCTTTAATATGGCTACTGCCATATTTGGATTGATGCAGTGGCCGCTGGACTTAGCGTCACTTATCTGTCACTGTGTCTGATACTCTTCGGAGTAATTGTACCCTGGAAGAGGCACTATTTCCAGGTAATGCTTTGTATTTCCATTTTTTAATTAATAAAGACGCTTTCTCCTAGAATTTTTGTCCTTTTTGAATTGGTTGGGACCCGGAACTGGGAAAATCGTACAGGAGTGCCCCTATTGGAACCCATTGGAACGGCCACTGTAGAAATTCATTTACAAGTATCGTGAAAATGTTATTGGATATATTGGTTATATGCTTATCTATGAAATCGAAAAAATGTTGAACACTATGGTAGTTCACGGTATACCCGAACTGAGCAGCGGTAACCCGGACGGAGCTCACGAGCACGATGTGCAACAGTGATGATGGCTATCGCGTAGCCTATCCGTCCACACCACGATGGCTGTTTGCATTTCTAGGTCGCCTCGCCCGTCACACCTTACGTCCATCAAGTCACCACGCCCGATGGCTATGACATTTAGGAACGGGGAAGACCTGACTGAAACACTACAAGCTTGGTACAGTTCGAGGAACGATCTGCCTAACCACATCAGATGTTGTGAAAGCCGACCTAGATCTGTGAGACAACAGCAGGGAGGTCAAAATGAACGCACAAAACTGATAGTTAACCTTGGTCAACTACCCCTGGCACAAGACGTGATTTGAACCAACCGCGCAAGCAAAAAACCTGCAGAGGCCAGTTCCCACAGCACTGGCCGATTCGGTTTAAATAACTTGTCTGAAAATCCGACAAAGGCTGCTGCTGTAGAAGTGCACCAGGTGCTGAGACAAACCACCAAGTGCCTCTATAGCAACGTAAGAGGACTGATTATGGTGTACACCATAATAAACACGCCAAACCATCCAAATATGAGCATCTTACCGATGCATCACCACCACTTCCCTCGAGGCAATCCTCGAAAGATTGCACATCAGAGAGAGAATACTAACGTTCATTGCAGGTCGTCGCAACTTGGAATGCTGTCCCAGCCGGTGACCACAGCCCCCTCAGTGGACTGCTTTAGGAAAAGACTTGATAATCACGTACTCACATACGGACTATCATCTTCCTCTTGGACAAGCTGTTCATGATGTATATAATGAGACCTGCTAGTTGTTATCATTGCCATCTCCTCAGATCACTTACTTAATCTATCTTGCATATTATCATTGTTTTCTCTCCCTTGCTTACACTACGGTCCTCTCTCAAAATCTTCACTACCAATTAACAAACTAAATTCATCTATATATTACTCAGTTCTGAAATTTTATTCTTATTAGCATTAGAATTTTATCCTTATTACCCTTATTACTCTCCCCATTGCAACTAACTGATCTCCGGTCTGGTAATGTGACGGCTGCTGGTATCCAGAAACCCTACTGCCCTGAAACAAACGTTTTCATTCAAAACCCGAGACATACAAACTCACAACGAACTGCCAACTGACTAGAATTAGACAGTCGAGTGGCTAGACCTCCATCCATTGGACATTACCGAACACCTGGAACCGTACCGAAAGAACAAGAATCGAGCGCGAAGAAATCAAATTGGTTTACACTAGCTTGTGAAAAAGATATTGGATATTGGATAGGTTTCCGCACTCATTAACACGTACGTTACTGTTGTGTGTGTACTTGTTTCGCGTGTCATCCTCCTGTAAGTACTTTTTATCAACCCTTCATGTACCGGGAATTATGAGAGATTTTACTGAATTTTGAGAGGATGTAATAGAAGTTTCTATAAAATGTGACTAGACAAATGATTGCATTTATTCACCTAGTACCCATACTTCCAGTTGTCATCGGTCACCTCTAAAGGTTGGTATTTTCTGGACAAAATCGATATTTCTGCATTATCGAATCGTGTCGTTTGTATCCTCAGCAGTATGAATGAATTAGACTGTAATGATGAAACTTGTTATTAGCTAACCTGTAAGTTTTACCTTGCGATCGTGAAGAAACAGGAGATTATAGCTCTTACTTAGGAAGTTTCTAGTTCCTTATGCTAAGAGTAGTGGATCAACTGATTCTTACTGGTCTTTACAGCTTGCTTCAAAGTGGTGGTATTAGCTTGTTTAAATTATCTACTGATGTCATTAATGCTACTTGTAACTGATTGACTGGCGGTGTTTGAGTCACTTACTACTCGATAAGAACAGAATCTCACTTAAATTTTTAGTTTGTCTCGGGCTTTGAACCTTCCAGTGATGATTCGTTATAGAGTGGGGATAAATATAAACCGTGTTAGGCGCTCACTGTTGTAGAGTTCGGAACCTAAATGTTCATTAAATTCTAGCTTGATGAAATTCTAAATAAATCATGAAATAACTACTTGGATGCAATATCCTAAGCGAGGTCTCCCTAACAGTGGTATAAGATCCGAAGCATATGTTTCTCAAAACATCTCAATACTTGAGAAGTGACCAACGTCTTATTGGGAATTCATTTACTTAGGGAAGAAAAATGAGGGTCTTGAGATAATCCTTTGAGGTACTGTTCCCATTCAGTTAGTTTCTCGCTCACCTCCTTACTTAACGGGTGCGAAAAATGGCCACTAAGAATAGAGGATATTCGTAGGTTACTAGTATCCAACCACAGGTGTCTTCGAAGCGTTGTCCTTGTATCCTGGGCCCATCGAGTAAGCACAGCCAGTGGTAAGAAACCGATAGTATGTAGGGATGACAGATCAATTGAAGTAGTGACTTTTCGTCAGTTGAAGTGTTTGGGAAATTTGTTACATATTTCTAACCACCGCCTGCCTCGATGAGCGATATTTTTTGCTGTATGGGTAGGCTGGAAAAAATCTAGGGGCGACCAAAGCAAACATGACACATCCATGAAGTCACTGGACTAAACCATGTTAGTCGTAGATTACTCGGTTGGGGTCCACGAGACAATAGTAGCCCATGGTTTGAGACTTTGAATGACATGGCTAAAAATCGTTCGCAATTGCGCAGGTGCATCTATTCTTTGTGTCCTCTCAAATCATAATCTTCCCAGCTTGTCATGACCGTTTTTTCTCTTTTGAAATTTATTCCACTAGTTCGCACTTATCGAATCGTATCTTCGAACCTTCAGTCGTTGTGATTACTGCAACATTGCTACTACTTCTACCACTATAAGACTTGAATCGACAACTGCGCCTCGGTGCTAATATGGTATGACAATTTGAACTAATGTAGGTACATACTATGTCCTACCTTGTGAGTGGGTGAATCCCAAAATTGAACTGATATAAACCATTCTGTAGTCATTTCAAACAACTTTTAGGAAGTTTAACTGATTGTCTTAGCTGTATGTAATATTGATGACATAATTCTTAAAACATTTTTGTCGGTTATATAAATAATCTTTGAGTCGACGGCGAAAATGTATGAAAGCAGTATAATTGATGGTTGTAAAACTCCAAATCCTATGCGTAAAATTCTTAAATAATGAAGTATGTATGTCATATATGATTTGGCTTCAGAACTGAGTCAAATTTTCTAGTTTGAAAATTTCTAGCATCTTATATAATTAGTCGTAACTTAATACTGAAACAAAATGCTTTAGACTAAAATATTGTCTTACATTTTCTTGCTGTTGGATTACCACTAACCTGTCATTTAATGTAACGCTAGTTTTAATTTTATATTTCTAGATTTTAAGCTCTAACTAATCCTTTTCAGCTTTTATTATCAATAAGTCAGTCAGTCAGTCAGGTACAATGTAGAACTTCGTATATGAGTACATAAGTTCAGGTTGCCATAGAGCATCAGCACAGAGATTCAAATGTCAGTTAAAATCCCATAGTAGCACAGGTAGTAGAAGTATTATCAGTTATGGAGAAGATTAGGTTTCGAAGATATTATTCAAGAAGTATAATTCAGTGAGATAACTTTAGAAAGAGAAAGATAGAGATGATGAGGAATTCGGAAGTTAAGAATTTGAGAGAACACAAAGAATGGATGCACCTGCGCCATTGTAAACGATTTTAAGCCATGTCATTCAAGGTCTCTAACCATCGGTGACTTTCATCTCATAGGCCCCAACCAGGTAATCGACATCTACCAACATGACTTAGTCCACTTGTCAATGACTCCATGGATTTGTGCCATGTTTTGATTTGGCCGTCCCTAACTTTCTTCCAACCCAAACCTACACCACAAAACATTAGCTCGTTGAAGCATTCAGTGCTTAAGTATACATAAGACATGCTATTTCAACACTTCATCAATCTACCTGTCATCCTTACCTGAATACCCTTTTCCTTAAAACTACATTACTTACTCGATTGTCCCATTATATGAATATAATAAGTTCATATTATTATAAATATTCAATGTATTCAACAATTTACATGTTGTTTTAATCATTTACATTTATTTTTATTTTATCATATTTCAAGTGTATTCATTAAAACAAGTTTAATTATTGAAAATTTAAATGCGAATTTATCTATTTATTTGTTCAATTTTAATTCATACTTCTATCTACCTTACAATTAGATTATTCATTCTATTTCAATCCCATCTTCCAAAATCTCATGTCCAATAAGAATAATAAAAATGCTGATGATGAATGGGAAACCGAACCGGATTTTGTGGTAGCTTTCTTTATTTTATTTATCTATCTTTTATGTTAGAATGATGTAACAGAGAAAGAACAAAGATGGGGTTCTAAAACTGTTGCTGGTTCTGGACATCAAGCTTCCGTAGAGTAAGTCAATCAGTCAATCAGTTAGTCATATCAAAATTTAAATGTAAAAAGAATCAATAGCAACGTAGAACTTCGTACGTACGTACGTACGTACATCAGTTCATGTTGCCAGACCACATTAGCCGACCGTAGCTGCTACCTTGACGTGGTGCTTGTCGGGCTTGCCTATCGTGATGACCTAATCGAGCTATATTGGCTGGAACATATGTTCCTGAAGGTTCTACCATGAAAGTCAGACAGGTCGATTGGAGAACGATGAGACTAAAAGCAACTACTGAAGGTCTGAGGGCGAAGTCGTACTGCTGATTGACTGCAAAGTGGTGTGACAGCAGTAAAGTGTTTCCCTCGGACAACCAGCATCTGCAGCAATGCTGACTGCTCACAAGGAAGGAAGGGTTAGAAAAGGTCGACCCTAAAAATGTCACACCTCACCCTACCTCACGGATTTCCGTCTCCGATGGTAAAGGTGCCCACTAAGGGTTTTTAAAAAGAGCGGAGCTAATACTCTATAAACCTTACATCAAAAGGCCGTGCATGACCAGCCTCAAGCAGTTGTCCCTTGGGCTCTGCGGTCACGCACCTAGGTCTCTAAGACCAACACTAATCTATCTTCCTTTTCAGGTTCCTCAAGAAACAACCTTCTACGGTGTGGGCAGCCGGGAAGTGACAACCGCCCTCATACCCGTAACAGTATTATCACAGAGATGCAATTGTCAGTTCAAATCCCATAGTAGTAGAGGTAGTAAACGTATTAGAAGTAATCGGAGTAGTTAGGATTAGAAGATATTACTCAAGGAGTATGATTCAGTGAGATAAATTTAGGAAGAGAAAGATGGAGATGATAAGGAATTCCTAAGGTTAGAATTTCATAGAACACAAAGAGTGGATGCACCTACGCCATTGCAAACGGTTTTGAGTCTTGTCACTCAGGATCTCTAACCATCGACTATTATCATCTCGCGGACCCCAACCAGCTAGTCGACACCTATTGATATGACTCAGTCTACTTGTCAATGACTTCATGGATTTGTGCCATGTTTTTATCTGGCCGCCCCCAGCTTTCATCCAAGCTTTTCATATATCGTAAAACATAGCTCGACGAGGCAGTCGGTGGTTAGGCTTACTCAGCACATGTCCCAACCACGTCAACTGATGAAGTTTCACTACTTCATCTATTGATCTGCCATTCTTACCTAGCACCCGTTTCCTAGTAACAGCGTTGCTTACTCGATTGTCCCACGGTATACGAGCAATGCTTCGGCCAATTCAATAACCACACCCCTAACCCTAAACACACACACACATCAGTGTGTACACACTCAATTCTTAGCATCATAAGTATCATTAGTGTATGTCTTCTTTTCTAGGTCATTACTTGTTAATTAATTCACCTTTTATACAAAATTAGTATATACTGATCAATAAATGAACACACAGTAGTGAAAAGATTCGATTCGGGTTCGAACCCAAATTCATCTTGTTTAGTTTGGATAATTGAATAGCATCACTAACTCTCATATGAGTTGTGACGGCTTATAAAATCAATTTTATCAATCAATATGGTCAATAGTCTAAGTGGATTGGTATTTGGAGTATGTGTTTTATTTGATGCTAGATGTTAGAAGAAGGTGCTTAGTAAGACCTCCCATAGAAGATATTATCAAACAACAAGTATAATCCAGTGAATTAAATTTACAAAAGAGAAAGATAAAGGTGATGAAAAATTCAGAAGATTAGAACTTGAGAGGGCACAAAGAATGTATGCACCTGCCTTGAATGACATGGCTTAAAATCAATCGTTTGCAATAGCGCAGGTGTATTCACTCCTTCTGTTATCCCAAATTCTAATCTTCTGAATTCCTCGTGACAGGTTGATTGTATTTAGGCCGTATTCACAGGACGCATATATATATATATATATATATATATATATATATATATATATATGCCCACCAGGATGGATCTGCTATTCTCGTCAATTGATATGCCTGAATGCTATTACGAGTTTAGTTTAGTCGGTAAACGAGAGCTAAGACAAATGATCCATTGGCACGATAGGCTACTCTAATTCGAGTGTCCTAAGGTCCCACTAAGTAGAGGAAGAAGTCTTGACAAGACGTAGAAAGTGTATTCTACAAGCGCTCAGAAAATATGAGGTCTACAAGCACATAAATCGAGCTTATTTATACATCGTAGAAACATCCTTGGCAGAGCTATAAAAATAGCCCACTGATACATCAACTAATGACAGTCATGGATTTTCCGAGTGGGAAATGTAATCTCAGCCCATGCGCGGAAACACAAAATCTAAAATTAGGGCCTTAATCAAATGAGTTCTAGCGTTAACTCAAACATATACTACTTACTATTGCTACTACTAGTAATATATTCATGCTAATAAAAATATTAATAGTCTTTTTTTCATGTTTTTTTTGTTAAATCTCTAAAATCGCCTACCAAAATGCTCCAAAATCAATCTTCAAAAAGTATGAACGCGTTAAAAGAAGAAGTGAAACAAGCAGATCGTTTGGCTAAATTGAAAATTGCACCTAAACCATCTTATGGTTATGGTGGCCAATTTGGTGTTGAGAAAGATCGAATGGATAAGGTTGTTGTTGGTGGTTGTTTCGCCTGTTTTTTTCTCTTTTTGGTTATTTGTTTTTTTTTGAAAATGTCCAATGAATTTTGTTTTAATTATAGTCAGTGATTGATTGAATTATGCGGAAGACGTCAATATCTAGGGGGAAGCATGCGATGGTATACAATGGTGGACAGTTAGGATACAGTTGGACTTTACAGATGATCTAGTTGTTCTATTGAACATGAGACAAAAAAATGCAAGAGAAGACGACTAGTGTAGCAGCAGTAGCAGCGATCTTTCTGTTTCTCCTGGTAATCGATTAGATTATGAAGATGTCAACAACATGCGGAGGGAAACACGGGATACAGTGGATAACTAGGATGCAACTAGACGACTTGGACTTTGCAAATGATCTAGCTCTTCTATCTTACAGATAACAATAAATGCGGGAGAACAAGACCAGTGTAGCAGCAGTAGCAGATATCAACATACACAACACAGCATGCACCAACCAAATCACTCTTGATAGAGATGTGTTGGAGGACGTAAAAACCTTTACATATCTAGGCAGTCTCTATGATGAGCAAAGTGGATCTGATGTAGAAGTGAAGGCGCGGATCGGGAAATCAAGGGCTGTACTTTTACAATTGAACTACATATGGAACTCAAAACAACTGTCAACAAACATCAAAGTCACAATTTTCAGTACAAATGTCAAGATTGTTTTGCTGTATAAGGTGTAGACTTGGGGAACCAGAAAAGTCATCATCCACAGGATACAAGTATTCATTAACAGTTGCACGCGCAAAATACTTTAGATTTGTTGATCAGACACTGTGAGCAACAACCTACTGTGGAAAAGAACAAATCAGATTCCAGAGGAGGAAGAAATCGGGAAGAAGCGGTGAGAGTGGATAGGACACACATTGCTGAAAGCACCCAACTACGTCACAAGACAAGTCCTCACTTGCAGTCCTCAATGCCAATTGAAAAGAGAACGATCAAGTAACATATTACGCTGAGAAATAGAGAAAGATATGAGAGGAATAAACGACAATTGGACAGAATTGGAAAGTGAGACCCATGACAGAGTAGGTTGGAGAATACTAGTCAGTGGCCTATCAGTCAGTCAGTCAGTCAGATGCAACGTAGAACTTCGTACGTAAGTACATCAGTTCATGTCGCCATACCACATCAGCACAGAGATGTAATTGTCAATTCAAATCCAATAGTAGAAGAGGTAGTAAAGATATTAGAAGTAATCGGAGAGGTTAGGATTACAAGATATTATTCAAGAAGTATGATTCAATGAGATAAGTTTAGAAAGTAAAAGCTAGAGGTGTTGAAGAATCCAGAAGACAAGGATTTGAGAGAACGCAAAGAATAAATGCACTGGCGCCATTGCGAACGATTTTGAGCCATGTCATTCAAGGTCTCCAACCATCGATTATTATCATCTCGCGGACCCCAACCAGGTAGTCGACAACTACCGACATGGCTAAGTCCACTCGTCAGCGACTTCATAGATTTCTGCCATGTTTTGGTTTGGCCGCCCCTAACTTTCTTCCAACCTATTTCTACACTACAAAACAAAGCTCGACGAGGCAGTCGGTGGTTGGGCATACGCAACACATGTCCCAACCATCTCAACTGGTGAAGTTTCAATACTTCGTCGATTTATCTGCCATTCTTACCTAGCACCCGCTTCCTATTAACAGCGTTGCTCACTCGGGTGTCCCACAATATACGAGCAATGCTTCGAAGACACCTATGATCGAAAACCAGTAACCTACGAATATCTTCTACTCTCACTGGCCATGTTTCACAGCCATAAAGTAAGACGGAGCGAACTACTGCGCAGTACACTCGTCCTTTAGTCAGCGAATGGATAGCTCGCCTACGCCATAAGTGACGCAGGTTGGCAAAAGCGAATCGAGCTTTCTGTATCCGTGCTGAGATTTCGTCAGTCACCAGACCATGGGCACTGATGATACTCCCAAGATAAGTGGAGCGGTCTACACGTTCGACTACTTCACTCCGTATCACTAGTTCAGGTGCCGATGCAACCCAATCTTGAAGCAACATTTTGCATTTCGAGGGTGAGAACCGCATCCCGAACATGCTTGCATTGTTGCTTAGGGTAGTCAGAAGACTGCATTTTGTACAGCATCTTCACCAAGTAAGACTATGTCATCGGCATATTCTAAGTCAATAAGCGAGCCACCTTGTAAAAGGTCTACTCCTGAAAATTCAGACGAGGATAAGATTATTTCTAGGAGCATGTCTATGATAAAATTAAACAAGAATGGAGAAAGTGGACATCCCTGTCGGACACCACTTGAAGTAAAGAATTCCGTTGACAGTTCGCCATAAGCTCTCAATTGACCAGTGGTGTTCGAGTAAAGAGCTTGTATAAGGTTAATGCACTTCTTTGGTACACCTTTCAATGACAGACAGCCTATGCTTCATAAAAGGGTAACAGGCGTAATTAAATAAGACGTCGACTGGATTTACCCAGATTGTTTAATCAAAGTTTAAACTGATGATAACACTTATATTATCAGATATTCCAATGTCTCAATACTATTGACTAGTATTACATGAATGAGAATCTGAACTACACAACACGCACATACGCACACACACACACACACCGGCAACTCATTTTCAATAAATCATTATGTTGTGTTGTGTTGTGTTTCAGTCAGCAGTAGATTGGAATCATGTTGAAGTGACTGAAAAGCATGCATCACAGAAAGATTATGCAAAAGGATTTGGCGGTAAATACGGTGTACAAACTGATCGACAAGATAAAGTAAGTGTGTTATTGTTCTAATGACTATATGCCGTTTGTTTTACTGTTAACTTTGCAATCATTGAGATTATGAAAATACTATGAGTTGCAGGCGACTGATGAGAACCCCGTACAAAAAGGCTGAAACGAATTTATCTTATTCTGTTCAATTTTCTTTGCTCTTATTGTGTTCAAGTCTAATAAAAGGAAGCCAATTGTATGAGATAGAAGAAATATTTGATGATAATTGTTAGATTTCTGACATAAGTTTTTGAAAATTTCAGTGTTCACTCTATCTATGGTAGAGAGTGAGTGAAACTGAATACACTCTGACACGACTTGTCTATATATGTATGTGTTTCTGGTTGGCGAATTAGTTTTCTACACAATGGGGTCACCAACCTCACACTCAACCCTCCTCCTTTATGCAGGCTAGGAACCAGCATTAGCTCCTGAGGGGGCTCCAAGCGGAGTTAGTGTTCATTCTGTGATTATTACCTGTTGTTATTTTGTTGGTGTTTTTGTGTGTGTGTGTATGTGTGTGCGCACATATACACACATACACACGTTTTTCCTTCGTCAATACAAAGAATACACTACTTAGAACATAGAAATTAGGGAAAAAATTGGTTTCAATCAGAACTACTGGTCTTGTATAGTTGGGGAAAAGTTTACAATCAATGCAAATGAATACTTTGTAAACCCTGGTTGTTTGCTTTCAAAAACAAACTCAGTGTTCAAAGTCATCTATATTAACAAGTTAAGTGGAAACATTAATCGAAGATAGTAAGCTCCTGTCGCTTGAACAGGATTGGAGAGAGGTTTTCACCATACATCTAGGGGAAGAAAGGGTTGTGTACGTGAGATTCAGTAGTACTGTGGTGCGAGCTACTTATAAGTAGTATATGACGTGTCAACGTAATGTCTGGCAGCAGAAGATGGGGGAAGATCAAGAAAGGAAGAGTTAGAAGAACAGAATGGTATTTGTATGAAACACATGAATAGTGACAATGGATTGATGATGTTTTGCAACAGGAACAGTCCAGTTCGATATGATGAACTGATATTTTGCAAATGAACGATTTACGATATGGTTTTCCTATTTTACTGAGTAATTCTGTAATTTTCGTTAAATACAATTCGGTTGCCCTCACCTGTGTTCTCCTTCACTACAGTACCACCGATAGTTGAAAGAGTCGGCTCTCCTTGTGGAAATACTGTCACATGAACATACCTACATAAACACTACAAGGAAAATCACGATCGGCCTTCTCACGGTAGGGGATGTTTATGAAATTCAGATGACGAAAAGCAAATGTCTAACCGCGTTGGTGGGAACATAGCAGCTACGATTGGGACTCATCAGCAATGCGCATCCACGACTCCTGCTACCCACAGGATTCGAACCTAGGAACTTCGGTCGTGCGCGCGAATGCCTCATCTCTCGACTAACCGTATATAATAGCTACTCACTGTTTTCTCACAAAAAAAGCGTGTTTTTTTTACAAAATTTAGATAATATAGAGCAAATATCCGACTGGAGTTTTAACCGGGTTACTGGGTATAGGAGATTCATCTACAGGAGTTGAGAGCACAGATTCCATACCAATAATGTACATGCACTTCAGGATCTTGATGGAGCACACGGTGTATAAACTTACAGTTGGTCACTGGTTACTGCAAGACTGCATCTCGCAACCTTGCTGCTGCTAGTTTGTGGATTCAATCTCTAGATGAAGGGCTTTGAGGATGACGCCTTCCGAAAAAGCCACCTGTTTTGATCTGGATATTTAGACAGTATCTTAGCCAATACACAAATCATTGGGTTTGTGTATGAGCTGAGTGTTATACTTCACGGATGTTCAAACCAAAGTAAGTGATTTTCTTAGGGATCACTTCCACCGCTTTTCACCTAGAGGTCGAATCCACAAAATAGTGGAGCAACGTTAAGAGATGCAGTCCCATGGTAGCTAGTGACCACCACCATTTGTTCCACCAGGATCCTGAAGCGTATGTGCACTATCGGTATGAAATCAGTGTTCTCAACTCCCTTCGATGAATCCTCCATACCCATTAACCCGATTTGAGTGTTAGTCGGATATTTCATTTTCATCCTCTAAATTTTGTAAACAACACCCTTGTGATGAGAAAACAGGGAGTAGGACTTCTGTCCAGAAATTAGACCAAAGGTCCTGGGTTCGAATCCTGTGAGTAACAGGAGTCATGGAATCGCACTGCTGATGAGTAGTCCCATACACTAGGACGAAACTGTGGTCTAAACAGTGCTCCCAGGTTTCTTATGGTGATCTAACAATGATTGATTCACATTTCGGTAATATATACTGTTGGCCATATAGAAAGTATTTATAGGGGACAGGGGCCAAAAAGTGTAAATCAAATAGAATCTTCTACCAGTTATCTTCAATCGATGGTGACACGTTCATTCTGTTCTGTGAACAATTCTTTGAATTAGGAAACTAATCATTTTCTGCATATCTTGTTTTGTATTCATGTCTACATTGATGTGTTATTGATTGATTGATTGATATTTTGCGCTTTTTCCTGCTCTTGTGTGTTTTTTTTTCAAGTCATCTGTTGGTTGGGATCATAAAGAAACCGTAGAAAAACATTCATCACAAAAAGATTATGCGATTGGATTTGGCGGTAAATATGGTGTACAAACTGATCGACAAGATAAGGTAAATAAAAATTTATTAGAGAAAGTTGAAGAATTCCATGTGTGTGTGTTTGGGTTTGTGTGGGTGCCTGTGTTTATGCTTTATCCTTTGGTTAAACCATCATTATAAACGTGGTAGCAGTGTTTAGACAACCGTTTCGTCCTAGTGTATGGGACTATTCATCAGTGGCAGTGCGCAAAATGTTGCTTCAAGACTGGGTTTCATCGGCACCTGAACTAGTGATAGTGAGTGAAGTAGTCGAACGTGTAGACCGCTTCACTTATCTGGGGAGTGTCATCTGCGCTGATAGCCTGGTGACTGACGAAATCTCAGCGCGGATACAGAAAGCTCGATTGGCCTTTGCCAACCTGCGTCACTTATGGCGTAATCGTGATATCCGTTCGCTAACCAAAGGACGAGTGTACTGCGCAGCAGTTCGCTCCGTTCTCCTATATGGCTGTTAAACATGGCCGTTAAGAGTAGAAGATGTTCGTAGGTTACTAGTATTCGATCATAGATGTTTTTTGCATAGAAAACTGTTAATCAATATTTATATCTTGTTCATGATGGCTTTCCTGGTTCCACAGGTTTCTGCTGCATACAGTAGAACTGTCTTGACATTTGTATTGAAAGTTGTGACTTTGGTGTTGGCTGACAAATAGTTATTTTGAGTTGCAGCCCTTGATTTCCCGATCTACGTATTTACATACGCATCAGATCCACCCTGCTCTTCAATGGTGGTTCCTAGATATGTAAAGGTTTTTACGTCCTCCAACGCATCTCCATCAACAGTGATTTGGTTGGTGCACGTTGTGTTGTAACAGAGGATGTTCCTTTTTCCTATGTGTATGTTGATATCTACTGCTGCCGCTACACTGGTCTTGTTCTCCCGTATTTATTGTTGTCTGTAAGATAGAAGGGCTAGATCATCTGCAAAGTGCAAGTCGTCTAGCTGCATTCTAGTTGTCCACTGTATCTCGTGTTTCCCTCCGCATGTTGACATCTTCTTCATAATCCAGTCGATCACCAGGAGAAACAGAAAGATCGCGAGTAATCAATCTTGCCTGACCCTAGTCTTCGCTTGAAATGAGTTTGTGAGCTCTTCTCCTCCATGCACGATTTTACATTTTTAGTCCATCTTAAGAATTTTGATATGATGTTGACTATCTTCTCAGACACGCCGTAGTGTCGACCAAAGCCTTCATCGTGTCATCCTGTCCAATCTGTCAAATGCTTTCTTCGTAATCAATGACTTTGAGATTACATTTCCCAGTCGGAAAATACTTGACTGTCGTCATTGGTTGATGGATTATTTTAGTAGACTATTTTTATGGCTCTCCCAAGAGTGTTTCTATCATTAAATAAGTAAGCTCGATTTATGTGCTTGTCAACCTCATATTTTCTGGGTGCTTGTAGAATACACTTTCTATGCCTTATCAAGACTTCTTGATATAGTTAGCCGGGTCGGTGATAATCGAATCAGAATAGCCTATCGTGTCATTGCATCATTTGTCCTTTGCTCAGTTTACCGAGTAAGGTGAACCCGTCATAGCATTCAAGCATATCAGTTGACTAGCATATCACAAACTGAGTATTATGCTCGTCACTTAATATGCTTGAAACTATTACAAGTTCACTTTAGTCGATAAACGAGAACAAGACAATGAGGCATGGACATGGTAGGCTACTCTGATCCATTGCTCAACTAACTGAAGTAAAAAGTCTTGATATGGCGTAGAAAGTGTATTCTACAAACACCAAGCGAATACAATGAACTCAAGCACACAAATCGCGTATATTTATACTTCATAGGAACGTCCTTGGGAAAGTCACAAAAATGCCATACTGAAATAGCACATCAACCAATCACTGCCAAAGATTTTCCTGGTGGAAAATGTAATCCCAAGGTCAACTAATCAGCCCATGAATAGAATCCAAAGCAAAGACATTTATCAAGTGAGTTCTGGCGATCTAACGTCCTCAACACAGAGTCCACTTAAGTAGAATACACGGAAATGGAAGGAAAGATTTATTACATAGCCTACTTAATCGTTCGTTCGTTCAAATTGGAGTCAAATCATCGAACCGCCAGTAAATTAGTGAGCTGCACTTCCAATTCACAGTGATCACTAAAAACTAAACTGCATATGAGCATGTTGTATTTCGTGCAGATATTTACATATTTTTTTGAAACCATGAATCGATCAATGTTAGACCACCATTATGGACCTGGAAGCAGTGGACGGCCGTTTCGTCCTGGTATGGGACTCCTCAGCAGTGCTCATCCACGACTCCTGTACCTCGCAGGATTCGAACCCAGGACCTTCGGTGTTGTGCGCGAACGCCTAACCATCGGATCACAGGGCCGGTATCTAACGGTGTTAATGTCTAACTTGATCAATTCACGGAGTTGCGCAACCTCACACACAGTCTTCGGTAGTTACTGTCTACACCCGAACAGGTTGAACTTCACCGGTCATGGACTTCCCACTGGAACTCGGATAAAATTCCTCACGAAGCTAGTAACTAGTGAGCATAGGTAATTCGCATTACGGGGTTGTGAAGATTGTTAAGTTACACATTTTTGAAACCGTGGATGCGCACTGCTGAGGAGTCCCATACCGGGACGAAACGGCCGTCCAGTGCTTTCAGGTTTCTAATGGTGGTCTAACATGGTTTCGAAAATGTGTAACTTAACAATCTTCATAACCCCGTAATGCAAATATTTACATATCACCTATTCAAGTGTATTGTTATATTGATGATATTAAATATTACGTAATTTTCAATAAATCATTATGTTGTTTATTGTGTGTGTGTGTATGTGTGTGTTGTGTTTCAGTCAGCAGTAGATTGGAATCATGTTGAAGTGACTGAGAAGCATGCATCACAAAAAGATTATGCAAAAGGATTTGGCGGTAAATACGGTGTACAAACTGATCGACAAGATAAAGTGTGTTGTGTTTTTCTAATGATTATATACCTTTTGATTTTCGCAATAATTGAGATTTTGAAAATACTATGAGTTGCGGGCGACTGATGAGAACTCCGTAGAGAGAGACTTTGAATGACATGGCTCAAACGCATTTGCAATGGCGCAGGTGCATTCATTCTTTGTGTGCTCTCAAATCCTAACCTTCTGAATTCATCATCACCTCTATCTTCCTCTTGAATAATATGTTCGAACCCTAATCTTCTCCATTACTGCTAATACTTCTACTACCTCTACTACTATTGGATTTGAATTGACAATCACATCTCTGTGTTAATGTTATATGGCAACATGAACTGGTGTACGTACGTACGTATGAAGTTCTGCGTTGCTATTGATTAATTGATTGATTGAGCGGTAATAAAGAAGATTAGGGTTCAACGATGTTATTCAAGAAGTATATATCAGTGAAATAAACTTACTGAGAGTTAGATAGAGTCGATGAAGAATCTAGAGGATTAGGATTTGAGCGTAAACAAAGAATGGATGCATCTGCGCCATTGCAAACGATTTTGAGTTATGTCATTCAAGGTCTCTAACCTGCTGTGATGATTGCCTCTCGATCGTACCAGGATATTTGGAGCCATAAAAGAAAGCTAGGGGCGGTCAAACGAAACATAAGGCATCAATCCATGAAGTCACTGACAACTGAACTGAGCCATGTTGGTAGGTGTAGACTACCTGTTTGTGGTCTGCGCGACAATAGTAACCGATGGTTAGAGACCTTGAATGATGACATGACTCACAATCGTTTACAATGGCGCAGGTGCATTCATTCATTGTGTTCTCTCAAATTGTAATATTCTGACCAATACTTCCACTATCTTCATCACTATGGGATTCGAATAGTCAATTGCGTTTCTCTTTGTGCTAATGTGGTATGGCAACTTGAACACTAATGTACATACCTACGTATGTACGTAGTTCTACTTTATAGCTAAGTTGACTTGACACAGTGTAAATCGAATAGAATCTTCTACCAGTTATCTTCAACGATTAGTGACACATTCACTCCATTCTGTGAACAAGTATTTTTACTTTTCTGCATATCTTGTTTTGTATTGATCTCCTTATTGATTGAGCTTTTGCGCTTTTTCTCCGCTCTTGTGTGTTTTCTTTTTCAAGTCATCTGTTGGTTGGGATCATAAAGAAACTGTAGAAAAGCATTCATCGCAAAAAGATTATTCAATTGGATTTGGCGGTAAATATGGTGTACAAACTGATCGACAAGATAAGGTAAATCAATATATTAGAGCGAGTTGATGAATTCGATCTGTGTGTGTGTTTGGGTTTGTGTGGGTGCCTGTGTTTATGCTTTAGCCCTTTCAAACATTGACTGCATTGTTTGTATCTTGATATCATGAATGGATCATTGTTAAACCAACATTAGAAGAAAACGTGGAAGCACTGTTTAGACGACCGTTTCGTCCTAGTGTATGGGACTGTGTGCTGGTACGGTTATGAGGGCGGTTGTCACTTCCCGGTTGCCCACATCGTGGAAGGTTGTTTCTTGAGGGACCTGAAAAGGAAGATAGATTAGTGTTGGTCTTAGAGACCGGGATGCCTGACCGCAGAGCCCAAGAGACAACTGCTTGAGGCCGGTCACGCACGGCCTTTTTATGAAAGAATTTTTGAGTATCAGCTCCGCTCTTGAAAGCCCTTAGTGGGCACTCTTACCGCCGTAGATGGAAATCTGTGAGGTAGGGTGAGGTGTGACACTTTTATGGTCGACCTTTTCTAACCCTTCCTTTCTTGTGAGAAGGCAGCTTCGCTGCAGATGCTGGTTGTCCGAGAGAAACACCTCACTGCTGTCACACCCCTTTACAGTCAGTATTAGGACTTCGCCCTCAGACCTTGGGTAGCTGATTTTAATCTCATCGTTCTCTAATCGACCCGCCTTGCGTGGTAGAACCTTCAGGAACATATGTTCCAGCCAATATAGCTCGACTGGGTCATCACCATAGGCAAGCCCGACAAGCACCACGTCAAGGTAGCAGCTACGGTCGGGAGTGTATGGGACTACTCATCAGTGGCATTGCGCATCCATGAGTTCTGCTGCTCGCAAGATTCGAACCCGGGACTTTCGGTGTTGCGCGCAAACTCTTGACCTCTGGACCACTGAGCCGATGTTAATGCGTAACTCTGATCAATCCCAGGACTTTGCACAATCTCACCCATTATCTTCGGTGATCAATGCTTCACACACTAACACAGTAGTCAACTCCACTGGTCATATCTTCCGTAATACTCTACTGTTTTTAATAGTGTGTTTAATATTTTTGGAAATTTATGATGATATGCATACCAAGGTGAATTAGAAATGTTAATAATCAAGAAGTATAATTCAGTGAAATAAACTGAAAAAGAGAAAGATAGAGATGGTGAAGAACCTAGAGGATTAGAATTTGAGAGAAGTAGGCAGCACCCACATCTTTGCAGACGGTTTTCAGCTATGCTATTCAAGATCTCTTACCATCAATTACTATCATCTCTCAGATCCTAATGTAATGCTTGACAATTAATATGCTTGAATGCAACTATTACGAGTTCACCTTAGTCGGTAAACAAGAGCTAAGACAAGTGATCCATTGGCACGATAGGCTGGCTACTCTAATTCCAAGCGTCCCAAGCCCCTACTAACGGCGGTATCAAAAAATCTCTAAATGGCGAAGAAAGTATATTCTACAAGTACCCAGAAAATGTGAGGTCTTGTACGGCAGAATAAGAAGAGGAGAATCATAAAAGTTTACAGACAATGCATATTTATACAGTTAGGTCGGCCGCAAATACTAACCAATAGGAAAGAACATTCAAAAGTATGTGAACTTGATAGTTTAGGACGACCTTAAATATTGACCAATAGGAATCGACCAATAGAATTCAACTTACAAAATAATTTCTTTAGGATATTCGATGATTATCCTAACATCTAACCAATTAGTCTGCATTTACCAACATGACTCAATCCACTTGTCAGTGTTTTCATGGATTTTTTGTCGTTTTAGTTTGACCGCATCCTAGCGAATTCAATGTCCAATCCATATATCTGTCTGTCTGTCTATCTGTGTCTGTCTGCTACTTGTCTGTCAGTTTATCTGAATATTCATTTATTCACCTTATTTTTTTGTTTTTGATCATGTAGTCAGCATTAGGTTGGGATCATCATGAACAATCTAGTCAACATCCATCACAAGTGGATTATGCTAAAGGATTCGGTGGTAAATATGGTTTACAAACAGATCGAGTTGATTCATCCTCTGTTGGTTGGAATGATACGCATCAAACAGAATTACATCCTTCACAAATGAAAGGTATGTGTGCATATACGTATATATATGTATATATTCACATTTTATTGTGACAAATATCTTAAAATGCACGTTGGTTGTTTGTGTGAGCTGCTACCTTGATGTGGTGCTTGTTGGGCTTGCTTATGGTGATGATTCAACCGAGATGTATTGGCTAGAATATATGTTTCTGTAGGTTCTACCATACCAGACAGGTTGATTGAAGAACGCGGTGAGACTAAAAGCAACTACTCAATGTCTGAGGCCGAAGTCGTACTGCTGACTGTAGAGGTGCTCGACGGCAGTCAGATGTTTCCATAGGATAAACACACATGCAGTTATGCTGACTTCTCATCAGGAAGGAAGGGTTTAGAGTAGGCCAACCCTAAAAATGTCATACCTTACTTTATCTCACAGATTTCCGTCTCCGGTGGTAAGGCCTTTGGAACAAGATTGGAGCTAACAGTCCTAAAACATCTCATAAAAAGGCCATGTGTTACCGGTTTGAAGCAGTTGTCTCTTTGGCTGTGTGGTCACTCTCTCAGGTCACTAAGGCGAACTCTTTACAGGTTGCTCAAGAAAAAACCTTCCATAATGTAGGCAGTTAGTTGGTAAGTGACATCCGCCCTCATACCTGTAACTGACTGACTGCCTCTTAATTATCTGAGGATTATGGTCTACATTTGAATTAAATTGAAGTGAATTGAATTTTGGTTAAGATTGTTGTATACGCCTTACAATTGAGATTATTGATATGACTTGTCAAAGACCTTTGACTATTAGGTTATTTAGTCTTTTGTATGCTTCATACCATAGCTTGAACAAATTGTACAACAATTTAGTGGTTTACCCGACTAGTGTAATTGTATTATCAAGTTGATCAGTTGTCATTTTTGTTTTCGGTCATTTAAACTGAAGATTATACGTCTGGCGGTGTTTCAGACTGTTACTAGTCTCCGTCCATGCCCTTCCTCCTACTATGGCTTCTAATCTATATGTTAAAAATAGGGATTATTTATTACGCATACACGTGACCCCGTCATTTGATATGCTTGAACTATGACGAGTTTACCTTAGTCGTTGAAAGAGAGCGAGGATTGAGGGTCAGGCGATACGATAGGCTACTCTAATCCGAGTCTGTCAAACCCCAATTGAGTGAAAGAAAAAGACTTGATATGAAGTAGGCTGTGTATTCTGCAAGCATTCAGAAAGTGCGACTCCCGAGTCTAGAAGAGGCTAAGAATCCCGGACTAAAGATCCGGGTCATAAAACGTTATAGATAATGCATATTTATACAGTTAAGTCGAATAGGGAACAACATTTGAAGTATGTGACATTGATAGTTAGGACGACCAATAGAAATTAACCAATTGGCATTGACCAGTAGAACTAGATTTTGGATAAGTTTTAGATTGTACCCCGTTTGGAAGTGATTACCTTCAATCATGTGTTCCGGATGAGCTGATGATTGAGTGGAGATAGTTGAAAGTTTTTCTTTCCTCATATATATCTTTACATCCTGCCTCTTCACAACATACTCTCTATGTAGTATGAGAACTGATCTCTTTTAACCGACCATTCTATAGCATTGAGTAATTGAATAATTAAAAGTATTCTAATGTGTGTAAGTATCAGAGACCTGGAGGCGATGTGTGTTAGCTAATATATACACCCTCTCCCTGATTGAATAATAAATAGTTAGCATCTCTGTCAGTGCTACCTCCATATGGCACAATTAAGTGATGAAGTAAGGATAACATCTACCACTTCGTCCTCATGAAATTTTAGTGTAGGCAGTATAGCTTAAGGCGTACCATGAAAAAATTGGAAGCCTACTTGTTACGGTTGTGCTTTTTGTGAAAGCTTACGGTGACGAAGTGGAATCCCCAGACCTGTTATAATCCTCACGCTCCATCTATAACACATCTGTTGATCATATAAGCTGGTCATGCTAATGTTTTTGTGTTGGCGCACTCCTTAAAGTGTAACTGGACTACTGGTTGCACTGAGTCACTGTGCGCAAAATCAAAACTCCTGTGAAACAGTTTCTGTTTTGAAGGAACCTACCAGTGAATGTATTGTTTGCTGGTAGATATAATTGTGTAGACGACACCGGGAAAACTGGTCATGCTAATGTTTTTGTGGTGACGCACTCCTTAAAGTGTAACTGGACTACTGGTTGCACCGAGTCACTGTGCGCAAAATCAAAACTCCTGTGAAACAGTTTCTGTTTTGAAGGAACCTACCAATGAATGTATTGTTTGCTGGTAGATATAATTGTGTAGATGACACCGGGAATCTGGTCATGCTAATGTTTTTGTGTTGGCGCACTCCTTAAAGTGTAACTGGACTACTGGTTGCACCGAGTCACTGTGCGCAAAATCAAAACTCCTGTGAAACAGTTTCTGTTTTGCAGGAACCTACCAATGAATGTATTGTTTGCTGGTAGATATAATTGTGTAGATGACACCGGGAATCTGGTCATGCTAATGTTTTTGTGTTGGCGCACTCCTTAAAGTGTAACTGGACTACTGGTTGCACCGAGTCACTGTGCGCAAAATCAAAACTCCTGTGAAACAGTTTCTGTTTTGCAGGAACCTACCAATGAATGTATTGTTTACTGGTAGATATAATTGTGTAAATGACACCGGGAATCTGGTCATGCTAATGTTTTTGTGTTGGCGCACTCCTTAAAGTGTAACCGGATTACTGGTTGCACCGAGTCACTGTGCGCAAAATGAAAATTCCTGTGAAACAGTTTCTGTTTTGCAGGACCCTACCAGTGAATGTATTGTTTGCTGGTATATTTCACTGTTTATTCCTCACATCTCACAAAATCGAGTTTATTGCCGAATCATCAGTAGCATCTTCAATCATGATAGGTAAATAAGTAGAATTCTGTAGTGTTGGACTTCCCAATTGCCGTGGTACGGCAAAGAGTTGGAAGAGCTCGCGCTCTAGCTTGGCGAAGTGTAAATAGCAACGGCGTAGGAAGTCATATTCAATGCCTTCTGGGGCCGTATCATTGTGTTTGAGCTTAAGAGGGCAGTAGCCAAGTGTCCAGCGCTTTAACCAGACCAGTCGGTATGTAGGGTCCACTTAGGGGAGCCTGTAAACCCTTATTCCAAACCAACGGCGCACACGGGTTCCATGATCCGAACAGGACAACTGGTGTACCAACCCATTGTTTAACATCGGTTCCCATTAGTCTGCATCGCCTATCACTGTTCCACTACCTTTTAAATTAAGCCTGTAGATGAAAGGCTCGGTGCGTGTGCTCAGAAGACCATCTGCTTCAGTATATAAACCTAGATAGTATTCCTGACCAGAAATCCATTGGTTTTTATGGCGTTTGAGTATTGGAGTACTCCTTTGTATCGAAAATTTTGTTGAAATGATTCTGAATGGTAAACAAAACGAAAGTATCTACGTAACTGCGACAGATTTCGAGCCATACAATCATCACACTGACTTTCAATGTGTTATCCTGCACTTATTAACACTTCAGTTTAACAGTCACTGACTTCATAGACTGATACAGCGTTTCAGTTTGTCCCTCCCTAACTTTCTGACAAGTTGTTTTTACGGCAACCAACATGACGGATTAAGGACGTTTATATATATACACGTTATACATCCCCTAACCACGTTGGTTGATGATTTACAACCTCATTAACGGACTCGTCCCTTGAATCTAACTTGAGCATTGTTAACTCGGTTGTGGTTGCAGTATACGTTAGCAATGATTTGAAGACACGTAGGAACAATGGTGCACTTAAGTCAATCATGAGCTAAATAATCTTTGTTCTCACATTTTATCTTGGGTTTATAAATTGATTTTACTTAGAAGCATATTGTCATCAAACTAAAGTCTGTACAAAACTAGTTCCGGCAGCGTTGTATCTGAACCGTCAGATTGATATTATTGCAGTTAACAATGTAATGTAATCATTAAAACATGGCCTTGCTTTCGAAGTTTCTTGTGAGGCAATGAATCAAAGTATGATGACATGTTGGTTAGGCTTGCCAGTAGCGATGTGCTAACCGATTTATATCGGCTAGAGTATATGTTCCTGTTAGTGTTCTACCATTCCAGGCAAGTCGATTAGACAAAGGTGTGTAGGCGTGAAAGCAGTAACTTTTAAGGTTTGAGGGCGAAGTCCTTCTCTAACCGCCTATTTCTAGTAAATACTGAGATATTCAACACTGTTAATGTCTAATCTCAATCAAACCACATTGTTCTTTCAACTTCCTCCATGATCTTCTATGGGTAACTGCTTCTTCTCAGTTTCCATAACCACCCTATCATGAGAATTATCATGTGTTCATTAGTAACACTAACTTTGTGAAGCAATTCACTGAGTTCTAAATAGTAGCCATGACAAACGGAGTTTAATCGTGTTGAGTGTGAAGCAGTATTAAAGTTAGACATCCACACTGTTGCATATGCGCTGACCTTGATGGAGATGCCTTGGAGGTACGTTAACACCTTTACATATCTGGGCAGCATCGTCGACGAGAAAGGTGAAACGGATGCAGATGTGAGGGCGCGGATTGGCAAAGCACAAAGGCTGCATTTCTACAGTTGAAAAATATCTGGAAATCCAAACAACTTTCAACCAAAACCAAAATGTCAAGACAGTTCTACTGTATGGAGCGGAAACTTGGAGAACTGAACCACGAAAGCCATCATCCAGAAGATACAAGTGTTTATTAACAGTTGTCTACGCAAAATACTTCGGATTCGTTGGCCAGACACCATCAGCAACAACGTACTGTGGGAGAGAACGAACCAGATTCCAGTGAAGGAGGAAATCAGGAAGAAGCGGTGGAGTTGGTGGATAGGACACACATTGCGGAAAGCACCTAACTGCATCACAAGACAAGCCCTCACATGAAACCCTCAAGGTGAAAGGAAAAGAGGAAGGCCAAAGAACACATTACTCGCCGAGAAATAGAGAAAGATATGAGAGGAATGAACAAACATTGGACAGAACTGGAAAATGGAAGCCGAAGGACAGAGTTGGTTGGAGAAAACTGGTGGGCAGCCTATGCTCCTCTATTGGGGGTAACAGGCGTAATTAAGTAAGTAAGTAATATGCGCTGACCCAGAGTGATCTAACGATTCAGAGTTGGCGGGCAATGCCAAAGATCATGAGTTCAATTCATGCTTTCAAAACGACCGTCCATTAAATGTGCTTCTATGTTTTTTTAATGATAATCCAACATATTTGATTATTGATTCATGATCTCATTGTTTTTGATTTTATTAGCTACTGTCAATAAATCAGACAATTTAAGTAGTATACGTGCAAGATTTGAACAGAAAGTGAACACTACATCTGGTCCATCTATTGCACAACAACGTGTTCTTGAAGAACAAGCTCGATGGAATGTTGAACGTAAATTACAACAACAGCAACAACAACTTGACGAACAAACAGATCAATCCAATGAAAAGTCAACAATTAACTTGATGGTAAATAAGTATTTCATTTATTTTTATTATTACTTACTTACTTACTTACTTTCATCTGTTACTCTACCCCCTCCCCCCCCAATCGAGCATCATAGGCCGTTGACCAGTATTCTCCAACCTACTCTGTCTGATGGGCTTTCCTGTTTTAGTTCTGTCCAATTGTTGCTGATTCTTTGCATGTCTTTCTCTCTCTCTGTCCATTTCTTGGCATAATGAGCTCTTTGGTCTCTATCTTTTCCTTTGACCTTGAGCATTCAGGATGAGGGCTTGTCTTGTGACACAGTTGGGTACTTTTCGTAATGTGTGTCCTATTCACTTCTAGTGCTTCTTTCTGATTTTCTCCTCTGCTGAGATCTGGTTTGTTTTCTCCTACAGTAGGTTGTTGCTGATAGTGTCTAACTAACGGACTCGAAGTATTTTGCGTAGACATTAAGTTGGTAGATGTAGGCTAACTGGTTTGGGTTCGCCAGACGAAAGCCATCAATGGTTTCATCTCAATTTATCTTGACCTGCATCGGCACCTGAACTAGTGATAGAAAATGACGTAGTTGAGCGTGTTGACCGATTCACTTGTCTCAGGAGTTTCATAAGTGTTGATGGCCTAGTTGGTGTCTGACGAAATCTCGGCACGGATACAGAAGACTCGACTGGCTTTCATCAATCTGTGTTATATATGGTGTAGGCAAGATATCCGTCTACTAACCAAAGGACTGGTTTTACTGCCCATCAGTTCGCTGTGAAACATGGCCGTTAAGAGTAGAAGATGTTCGTAGGTTACTAGTATTCGATCATAGATATTTAAGAATCATTGCTCGTATATCGTAAGACAACCGAGTAAGCAATGCTATCGTTAGGAAACGAGTACTAGGTAAGGATAGCAAATTAATAGATAAATTAAGTGAAACGTCATCAGTTGAGATGGTTGAGACATGTGTTATGAATAATGCCTAACCACCGACTACCTCGACCAGCTATGTTTTCTGATGTACATCTGATTGACAGCGGTCATAATGTAGATAGATCTGAATCATTTCAAGTGATCTATCTATCTATCGTATACACCTCCATCATCATTTGCCAACAGAGTTCGATCCCATCTCCTATATATATGTAGCAGAAACCATAGGAATTGCAACATTCACCCCCCTAATTTATGTGTTCAGAAGTAATTTGTGACACTCCTGTCTCTTTCATGGCCAATTAGCACTTGTTATACAACTTTATTTTATTTTAATTTTATTAGCATTATTCTCGTATTCTGGATTTGTTTTGTAGTTTTTTTCCAACACTTTCCGTTTATATTCTTCACTATTTAACACACTTCTTATTACGTAATAGTTACAGTGTTTTTCGATGATTATTTTAAGTCGGTTAATTCAAGTTTAACACCTACTGCTCATTACCCAATGTTGAACTCTAATATTGACAAAAACTTTTATGATTGTTATTATGGGGTTGTAGAGATTGTTGAGTTACTCTTTTTTTCTTCATACCATGAACCGATCAGAGTTCAGAGACTACCAACCATTAGAAACCTGGAAGCGCTGTTTGCACGGGACTGTTCATCAGCAGTCAGTCAGTTACAACACAGAACTTCGTACATGAGTACATAGGTTCATGTTTCCATATCGCATCAGCACACAGACGCAAATGTCAGTTCAAATCTCATGCCAGTGGAGGTAGTAGAAGTATTATCAGTAATGGCAAAGATTAGAGTTTGACGATATGATTCAAGAAGTATAATTCAGTGAGATAACTTTAGAAAGTGAATGGGTAGGAGTGATGAGGAATTCAAAAAGTTAGAGTTTGAGAGATCAAAAAAAGTAGATGCACCTACGCCATTGCAAACGATTCTGAGCCATGTCGTTCAAGGTCTCTAACAATCGGTGACTTTCGTCTCGTGGGCTCCAACCAGATAGCCTACACCTACCAACGTGGCTCAGTTTACTTGTCAGTGACTTCATGGATTTCTACCATGTTTTGGTTTGGTCGCCTCTAGCTTTCTTCCAACTTACTACCATTACACCACAAAACATAGCTCATCGAGACTGTCGATGGTTGACACCATTCATAACACATATCTTCATCAACAGTGCGCATCCACAACTCTTGCACCTCTCTCAAGATTCGAATCTAAGACCTCCGGTATTGCGTGGGAAACGCACACCTGTTTTCCAACTATTCTTCACTTATACTTTCACCTATTATATGCAATTACATAATCTCTATGTTTAACATTTGTTCTTTTAATTACTCACAATTCATTCATTCATTATTATTTTTCTGGTTTTTTTTTTCGCCTAGACATCTAAATCGCCTGATTTGAGTCGTCACACTGATGATCATGATAACGAAGTGGCGCAGAATTCAAATGTTGTACAAAATTACACAACTTCTATTCATTCAAACAGGATAAGTGATAATACTACTACTAATACTACTAATACTACTACTATTCCTCCTCCTCCTCCTCCTACTATTATTACTACTGTTCATGATGATGATGATGACGATAATGATCATCATCATCCTAATCAATCGTTACATGATGAAAATGAACAAAGAGATTCCTTTGAAAATCATGTATGTTTTTGTGTTGTTACTTGATTGATTAAACAGTGTTTTTGGGCAGAGTTTTGAAGGTTTGTGTTTTTTTACACATTTGAAATCATCAATCAATCAATCAATCATTGAGTTAGATCACCATCATTAGACAAACCTGGAAGCACTGTTTGGACGGCCGTTTCGTCCTAGTGTATGGGACTACTCATCAGCAGTGGCAGTGGGCATCCATGACTCTTGCTCCTCGCACAGGATTCGAACCCGGGACCTTTGGCATTGTAGGCGAACGCCTCATTATCGGACCACTGGGCCGGCATCCAACGGCACTGCTGATGAGTCCTATACCAGGACAAAACGGCTGTCCAGTGCTTGCAGGTTTCTAATGATGGTGATCTAACAATGATTGATTGATTGATGATTTCAGATTATTTATGTGTTTTCGCGCATGGGCTGATCAGGTGATCTTGAGATTAGATTTCTCACACGGGAAATCTTTGACTGTTATTGGTTGATGGATTATTTTAGTACGCTATTTGTGTGGCTCTCTCAAGGACGTTTCTATCATGTTGTATAAATAAACTGGATTTGTGTGCTTGTGAAACCTCATATTTTCTAGGTGTTTGTAGAATTCACTTTCTATGCCTTATCAAGACTTCTTGATATCGTTAGCAGAGCCTTGAGACGCTCGGATTACGGCAGCCTATCGTGTCACTGGATCATTTGTCTTCGCTCTCGTTTACCGACTCTAAGATGAACTCGTAATAGTAGCATTCAAGCATATATCAATTGACGAGTGATACAAAATTACGCTCTACGAGGATGATGATCATGATTGTATAGATCAAAGTTTTTGAGAGTGTGAGCGCCTCCTCCCCCCCCTAAGATAACCAGCACCTGGTTTGGTTTGTGGACACGTGAAGCGATCCGCATTCAGCTGGTGCACAAATTCAATGATGTGTGTGTGCAGTACATGTATATATTTTATTGCACATTTTGGTACTCAGTGTTTGTGTGCTTTAATAAAACTCACTTATGAATAATTTTCATGTTATTGAAATGATGAATCGTTCATTGTTGGAACACTATTAAAAACCTGGAAGCACTAGATGGCCAAATATGGAATTCCTTAAGGGCAGTGTACGTCCATGACTCCGCAAATGGGAATCGAACTCAGGACACTCGTTTATTCTCGCTTCCATTGGTGTTAATGTCTAACTTCGATCAGTCTACAGTCTTGCGCAACCTTTGGTGGGCACTAACTACTTCATAACCAAACAGACTTGAACTCCATTGGTCAAAATTTCTCACTAGAACTCGGAGAAACTTCCTTACGGAGCTAGTCACTAGTAATGAGTGAACAGATGATAATTTTCACTTATAGGGTTTTGGAGATTGTTCAGTCAGACAGACATTAACACCTTTTGATGCTGCTGGCTCACTGTTCTAGAGGTTAATCGTTAGCGAGTAAGATCGAAGGTCTTGGGTTTGATTCCTACTTGCGAGGGTCTTGAATGAACACTGTCACTAAAGAATTTCATGGTCGTCCAATGTTCCCAGGTTTATAATGGTGATCGAATTGATCAACTGAAGAAGCAAATGTTAGCATTTTTAAATTAAGCGAAACAACCTCAAAGTATCTATAGACACATTGACATTGATTGACCTGTTATGATCTCTCTGTGTGTTTGAAGCCATATGGAAGTAGTCTATCATTCATTGGGTCAACCAAAACCGAATGCGCTAATATAAATGAAAGATCACTTGTAATAAGAATGTGTTATCGATTAGGCCATACACTCTTACATAGTGATTATGCGTATTCAGTACTCAAGATAGTCGATCGATCGATCGACTGATTGATTGGTTGATTGTAATTTCCCATTCCCCGTCTCCCTGTAATTTCACTATCTATTACTAGTAGTGATTTCAATGTTTTTTTCCTCAAGTGTAAACTAATTGTGGTTTTATATATATATATATATAATTTTTCGGTTTCCTTATTAGGCACATGATAATGTTGTACATGATAATTCTAATCAAAATGAGGAACAATTATTAACAGTGTTCGCTATATATGATTATGAAGCTGGTAAGCAATTTGTAGTTCATTGGTTTCACTATATCATGTTACTTTTTGAAATTATGAATCACACAGTGTTAAAGCCTTACTAAGTGAGAAACTGGAAGTACTGGAGGGTCGTTTTGACTTTAGTATGGTACGTAAATGACCTCCACTACTCACAGGATTCGGACGCAGGACCTTCGGTCTCTTGTGTGAACGCTTGACCTCTAGACCACTGAGCCGGTGGCATCTAACAGTGTTCATGTCTAACTTGTGGTCAATCTATGGTTGTTGCGAAACTTCATCCGTGGATTGATCGAAATTAGGCATTAATACCGTTAGATGCCGCCGGCTCAGTGGTCCAGAGATTAAGGGTTCACGTGCAAGACCGAAAGTCCTGGGTTCGAATCCTGTGAAGAGCGGGGATAAGGGATATGCACTGTTGATGAGTCACATCCCAGGACGAAATGACCGGCTAATGCTCCAAGGTTTCCTTTTAATGATGGTCTAACATTGATCGATTCATGGTCTTAAAATATCACTCAACAATCTCTACAAGCCCATAACTCATACATGCATGTGGAATGTTAATAAATTTCACAGTTTAAATCACAAACTGATCTTAGACTAGATGATCACCATCATTAGAAATCTGGAAGTAATACACACAATTGTTTCGTTCTGGTATGGGACTCATCGATGGCAGTGTGCATCCACGACTCCTGCACCGTGCAGGACTCGAACCGAAGACCTTCGGTTTTGCGCGTGAACGCTTGACCTTTGGATTATTGAGCTGGCAGCATCCAATGGTGTTTATGTCTAACTCTGACCAGTTTGATGATTTTGCACATGTTTCTAACGCTGGTCTAACAATGATTCATTCATGTTTTCAATGTGTAAAAATATATGTATGTTTATATTACTAACATTACTAATCAATTTCAATTGTCAACAAATATATACTAATTATAGTAATCTTAATCAGTGACAAAGGATGTTTTTATCTAATATACTACTACTACTTACTTGTGTTTATCTCTTAGTAGGCATAAACAAAATTAGTTTACGATAAAATCCTGATTCATTTTGTAGTCAGTCTATGTTGTACAAAGTAATGAATGTGTATACATTCACAGTTGGTTGGTCTGTGTTTGGGAAGTTGAAATACACACATGCGCACACGCACACAGACACATGCATACATCGATCACAACCATCCATATTCACAACTCGCTCTAATTAAAATTCATTACAGCTTTTCGTGTTTCATACTTTCAAGTTATAATTGACCTTCGGTCTCGCTTACAAACACTCCTATCTCTAAACCATAAAAAACTCGGGGCCTTTCAACTAACGACGAAAATTGTTCAAAACAATTTTGGTTACTTACAAGTAGTATATAAATTCAAAACATGGTAGAAATCCATGAAGTCACTGACAAGTGGACTGAGTCATGTTGGTAGATGTAGACTACCTGGTTGGGATCCGCGAGACGAAAGTCACCAATAGTTAGAGACCTTGAACGACATGGCTCAAAATCGTTTTCAATGGCGCAAGTGCATCCATTCTTTGAGTTCTCTCAAATCCTAATCTTCTGGATTCGTCAGCACCTCTACTTTTGTCTTTCTAACCTTAACTCACTGAATTATACTTCTTGAATAATATCTTCAAACCCTAGTCTTCTTCATTACCAATAATACCTCTACTATCTTTATCACTCTGGGATTTGAATAGACATTCGCATCTCTGTGTTAATGTGGTATGGCAACATGAACTGATGTACACATACGTACGAAGTTCTACGTTGCAACTGACTGACTCAATGTGATACAAATTTCATACTGACTTCTTTCACTCTATAGTTTTATAGACAAAATTCCAATAATTTTTTTTTCCGCAGTAATAACAAGCATGTTTTCATTGAACTTATTTCCTTTCGTGTTCTGGCTTTTTTTTTTCTTCCCGCTTCCTCAATTCAGCTGAAGATGATGAATTGACATTTGTAACCGGTGAAAAAATTACCGAAGTGATAAAAATTGATCCAGGCTGGTGGAGAGGTGTTTGTCGTGGTAAATTAGGCTTATTCCCATCGAATTATGTTGAAATACCACAATGACGATGATGAATGACTATTCGGCATTGAAATCTCAACTGTTGACAAGTTCTCTTCTTTTTCCGTGTGTTTGTCTGCTTGCGTGTCTGTCTGTAATCCGATTCAAGTACTTCAGAATGACAATATGAGTATTTTATGATGATGACTATTATATTTTTTTTTATAAAAAGAAAACATTTTATCATGAATTTATTTTTACTTTTTTGATTATATAATACTTATTATTATTATTAATAATAATTTTTTTTCTAAAATACATGTTAATATATTATTTATTATTTTACGCGCGTTTCAATGTAGTCGAAGAATTGTTTGAACAAGTTTCACGTTTTTTATTTTTTGCTTCGTGAATTTTGAAAAAAATGTGCCGTCAACTTGATACGTTCGTCACTGAGTATGCTTGAAGCTATTACGACGAGTTTACCTTAATCGATAAACGCGAACGAGACTTTTACCAGCGTCCAGGTAGGCTACCTTGAATCCCCAGACTGAAGTAAGAAGTCTTGTTAAGCATAGAAAGTATATTCTACAAACACCCAGTAATCACACAATGCAATCAAGCATACAACTCTCGTTTATTTATCCAACATCATAGAAACGTCCTATTGGGACAGTTAAGAAAATAGCACACTAAAATACACACAGCAGCTAATCACAGCCATGGATTTTCCTGTTGGTGGGAATTGAAATCTCAAGATCAACTGATCAACCCATGCTGGCAAACGTGAAAACCAAAATCGGGGCATTTATCAAGCGAGAGTTTTGGGGATCTAACATCCCAAACACAACTTGCGTGTGTATTTTGTCTGTTGTTAGTTGGTTGGTCTATTGATCGATCGATTGATTGATCTGTCTGTATTATGTTATGCGTATGGTTTTGTGTGTTTGTTTGTTTATTGAAACTCCCGTTGATTTGGCGCGGAATAGTTTTTTTTTTTTAAATTTTTGTTTTTATACGTATTAATCCATCTTTACTTTTTTCATAAGTTACTATTTTTTGTTCTAATGCATAGTTTTGCAATAAAATATAAAACATTACAATACAACGCAACTACTGATTTATTATTTTTAATATATAAAATAGATATTATGATATTGTTCTGTTTTTTCTCTTGGAATCAATGTGTGCAACTTTTCAATAGTTTGCATATTTTCTTGTTGTTGTTGGCCTAGTTATATTAATAACGATAATTAGAAAAGTAAACAGTTCTCATTGTTATGTGTTAGTTTTATTTGTGTAAACAACTGTCCGTAGTAGTAGTAGTGGTAGTGGTAGTAGTGGTAGCTTGTATCTTAACTGTAATGTGTAGTTTGAGTAAACAAAAAAGTATGATTTTTTATGAAACCATTTTTTTTCTTCTGTACATTGAAAGAGAATTTAAGCATGCCAAAGATTATTATATTTGTCTATTTGTGTGATGATCAGCTTTAAATTCAATGGAATGTGTTCATTGTTGATTATAGAAATGAGAAGGCCAGTGATATATGTATATATATATTTATGCTCAATGGTTAGAATAAGTGATAGAGGGTCGCTCATTCCAGGTGTGATTTCATAGATTCTACGTTTAAAATACTGTTTGTCAAATGTGCCTACAATTTAGAGTGAACTATTTCTCTTACCTTTAGTTATATTAAACTTGATTTTTTTCAACGATCATGTGATACAATCTAGTGGTTAGGTTAGGTTGAATAATAATTATCAAGTTAATTAGTGAGAAAATCTTATTCTTACAGACGATCAGTCATGCATGGACTTGTCTCTTGATATTATTCATAATGATGATAAGTTTCAATATGTTGACAGATTTTAGTTTAATCATCGAATCTAGGTTGTCTATCTGATCTGATTGGTCTTAACAGCTTGACATATTCGAATCCAAATCCAAGTATGATTAGGTTCATCGTATTCTGTTGAAGAATTTGAATGCCGAGAACTGCGTTTTGTCAACAAACGCTGATTAACTGCAAACAGTAAAAACACTATTTTCTTCTAATAACGACGTCAGTCAGAGTCAGTCAGATGCAACTTGGAACTTCGTACGTAAGTACATCAGTTCATGTCGCCATACCACATCAGCACAGAGATATAATTGTCAATTCAAATCCAATAGTAGAAGAGGTAGTAAAGGTATTCGAAGTAATCAGAGAGGTTAGGATTAGAAGATATTATTCAAGAAATATGATTCAGTGAGAAAAGTTTAGAAAGACAAAACTAGAGATGTCGAAGAATTCAGAAGATTAGGATTTGAGAGAACACAAAGAATAAATGCACCGTCGCCATTGCGAACGATTTTGAACCATGTCATTCAAGGTCTCTAACCATCGATTATTATCATCTCGCAGACCCCAACCAGGTAGTCGACAATTACCGACATAGCTAAGTCCACTCAGTGATTTCATGGATTTCCGCCATGTTTTGGTTTGGCCGCCCCTAACTTTCTTCCAACCTTCTCCTACACTACAAAAGAAAGCTCGTCGAGGAAGTCGGTGGTTCGGCATACGCAAGACATGTCCCAACCACCTCAACTGATGAAGTTTCATTACTTCATCTATTGATCTGCCATTCTTACCTAGTACCCGTTTCCTAAAACGACGTACCGACATTTTAAGCGTAAAATGAAATTATCTTGAATAACTCCTTAAACCAACCTATACGAGACGAAACAACTGAAGCGGCAATTTCTGGTTTGTCCCATTCTAAAAACTATGGAATTCAACAAATGTTTCATTTTTTTTAAAAAAAGATTTCAAAACTGTCATAAGAAGACAAAACTGATTGTAAAATCTTTCTCTCTTCAATATTCCCTATCATTTGACTACTGATTTGAGCCAATGTCATTATATAATGGACTATTTGGTGTGCGGTTCACGAGGCAGTCTTTGAGTGACATGACTCAAAAATGCTTGAAATGACATAGCTTCATCCATTCTTTGTTCTTCTCTTAAAATTCTACTCTTCATCTTTCGTGTTTTTTTAAATTTATTTCACTGGATAATTCTACTTCTTGAATAATCTAGTCGAATCCTAATCATTTGCATTACTGCCAATACTCCTACTGTGGTGCGAGCTACTTATAAGTAGTATATGACGCGAGTGTCAACGTAATGTCTGGTGACAGCAGAAGATGGGGGAAGATCAAGAGAAAGGAAGAAGAGTGGGAACACAATGGAATTTGTGTATGAAACGCATGAATAAGTGAAATGTCAGACAGTGGATTGATGATGGATTGAAGATTTGCAAATTAACCGTTTACGATATGGTTTTCCTATTTTACTGAGTAACTCTGTAATTTTCGTCAAATACAATTCGGTTGCCCTCACCTGTGTTCTCCTTCACTACACTACTGGCCCTACTACTAGGGTATATGAATCGACAATCCCATCTCCCTGTGTATGTGTGTGTGTACGTTAGTACGTACATACGAAGTTCCACGTTCTAGCTGACTACTTACTGACTGGCTAACCCGGAACGATAGATATCCTCGAATGGAATTTTTAGTCGTTTCTTTGTTTAAAAAAGAATATATATTTTGATTTACACAGTGGGAGAGAGATAGAGAGAGAAATGCATTTTTACAAAATCAGAATTCACATACATACACACACATAATATAGAAGAGAAAATAAAAATCCATAGAAAATTGCGCGCACACACACACACACGAATCTTTTTGTTCCCAATTAAAATCAAGGGGAAAAAGTTAAAAGCCAAAACAACAAAATGCTCAATAATAATAGTCATCAATGAATGATTGCACTGATCACGAACTATATTCATCGATAATCTTTGATTACATAATCACATAAGATGATTGTCCATAGATATACGCATATATGTATATTGTAAAAATACATCCGTTTAATTCTATGTACAAGTGAGAAAAGGAGAAGAATCAGTTTTTTTCGGAAGATGCTCCTTTGTATGTTGATGACTACAGAGATTAAGACACATCTGTTTAGTGAGAGTAAAAGAGGGTGAATCTATTCATCTAGTAGTTGAAAGTAGGGCATTACTAGTCTGTTTTCTGTTACCACCTAATGCTTTCAGCTACTTCTACTTTTATCAGTAGTAGTAATAAGTAGTATGAGCACTTATTAAGAATAAAATGAATTGTATTTTTTATGTGTGTGTTATAATAATCATAATAATAATTCTTTAAGATGTATTAAAGATGGAGATGAACTTTGATTTGTTTGTTCATGAGGACATTTCATCTCATTAGTTAAAGAATGATGCCATGGCCATGTGGATAAAATCCAATCAGTTGGATCTGTAATATTATAATTCAAATTATTCTGTTTCATCATAAATGGATGTGAAATAAAATACTTCTTGATTAACTGTACAATTTCATTATTCCATAAATTAATAAACCATAATTCTGCGCTGGTTGGATTATTAAATGGTAAATTTAAAAATTTTAATGGATTGTTTAAATGTTGTACTAGTTGGTGTTGTTGTTCATTGTTGATCAATGTGTCGTTTGTAGTTTCTTCTGGTTTACAGTAGTGATGATTTAATAAATCGATTAAGAATTGATTTAAGTAGTTGAGAACCTGTTTATTTTTTATAAAAAGAGACAAGATCAAAATTTCCACTTTAGTTTAAAAGAAATTCTCATTGTGAGAGAGGGTTGTAGAGAATTTAGAACAACACAGATAATAACTTACTTACTTACTTACTTACGCCTGTTACCCCCAATAGAGGAGGAGCATAGGCCGCCCACCAGCAGCATTCTCCAACCAACTCTGTCTGTTCTGGGCTTCCCTCTACAGTTCTGTCCAATGTTTGTTCATTCCTCTCATATCTTTCTCTATTTCTCGGTGTCATGTGTTCTTTGGCTCTCCTCTTTTCTTTTTACATTTAGAGATCCATGTGAGGGCTTGTCTTCTGACACACTCAGGTGTTTTTTGTAGTGTGTGTCCTATCCACTTCCACCGCTTCTTCCTAATTTCCTCCTCCATTGGAATCTAGTCTGTTCTCTCCCTTAGTACGATGTACGTGAAGTATCTTGTGTAGACAAGTGTTAGCGAACACTCGTATCTTCTGGATGATGAATTTCGTGTTTCTCCAAGTTTCCGCTCCATACAGTAGAACCGTCTTGACATTTGTATTGAAAATGCTGATTTTGGTTTTGGTTGAAAGTTATTTGGAGTTGCAGATATTTTTCAACTGTAGAAATGCAGCCCTTGCTTTTCCGATCCGCACCCTCACATCTGCATCGGATCCACCTTTCTCGTCGATGATGCTGCCCAGATACGTAAAGGTGTTAACGTCCTCCAAAGCATCTCCATTAAGAGTGATCTGGTTGGTGCATGTTGTGTTGCATCGGAGAATTTCGCTTTTTCCTTTATGTATGTTGAGACCTACTGCTGCAGATAATAAGCGAACAATATATTGTTGTTTTCGAATAGATCGTCGTTATCAGGCTTTACTCTCTCTCTATCTCTAATATACATGAATATTTATGATGGAAATGTGAAACCGATCAAGGTACGTTAATATGAGTCAGTGATCACAATGAAATGAAATAGATTACGTCACTCACTACACATAATAGGTGGAAAAGTACAAGTTGATAGTAAGAAAACAGGTAAGTACTGAGAGTAGTAAGAAAAATATAAAATATGATAACACAAGCATAAGTTAGCTGAGATGGCCTTCTCTATGTGCATTTAAAAAGTCAGCTGCTCCTATGGAGATAACTATATTGTGCGTACTACAAGGCAACTTAACCAACGAATGAGTGAACATTTCCTAGCATAGTTTATGAAGGGCCAGTTAAAAACAATACGCAGTTCTATTTCGGCACATCTGGTTGATAGTGGTCATATTGTAGATAAATCTGCATCGTTTTGAATGATCTATCTTGTATACATCCATCATTTCCCAACGCAGTTCGATCCTGTCGCCTACACACATAGCAGAAGCTATAGGAATTCGTGCATTCCACCCAAATTTATGTGTTCAGAAGCAATTCGTGATACCCCTATCTCTTCCATGGCTGGATATGACTTAATTAACATTTAAAAAACTTTTTTTAAAATTTTATTTTATAATTTTTAGCATTATTTTCACAACCGGTATGTGTTTGTAATTTTCTGGCTTTTCACGTTTACATTCTTCTTCACTATCTAATTATGTACACAATTCTAATTACGTAATGGTTTTAATGTGTTGGTAATGATTATTTTAAGTCTGTTTATACACATTTGACCTACAATCACCAATTTTGAACTTTTGATAAAACTGTTGTTATCGTATTTTATGTTTATCTTACTACTACTACTATCAGTACTCACCTGTCTTCTTACTATCAACTTGTACTTTTGCCTGTTTTATGTGTAGTGAGGTAATCTATTTCATTTCATTGTGATTACTGACTCATAAATTGCCTTGATTGGTTTAACATTTTCATATAAATATTCATGTATATAATAGAGAGAGAGAGAGAGAGAGTAAAAGCCTGATAACGACGATCTAATCGAAAACAACATCATTGTTCACTTATGTGTTGTAGAGAAATCACGAACCGATCAATGTTAAACTAACAATCATAGAAATTGTGGGAGCACTCAACGACTGATTAATAATCCTATTATGGGACTCCTCATGACTCCAAAAGCATAAATCGAACCTAAGACCTTCGGTCTCCATCATGGATTCTGATAATCTCTGGAACACTGAGCTGTCTAACTTCAATCAGTCCATGACATTGTACGACCTCATCCATTTTAATCGGCGGGTATTTGTCACACCCGAAAGAGGTTAACAACTATGTTAGCACGTATGGGTTAAATTCCCGCTTAAGAAGTTGTAGATGCGCATTGTCATTTAGGAGTCTCATTCTAGAACAAATCAGCGATTCATTGTTTTCTAGTTCTCAAAGACAGTCTAATATTTTTACTGGTACATGATTTCAGTAGAAGAAATTGATTTCTGAATGTTTGAGGCCATATGAATCGTCAGTACAACATAAAATTTTATTTATCTAGATTTTAAAACTAGGGAGCACTAAAAACAAACAGTTCAAACTAATCAAATCAAACCGATCTTTAAATCTCAATGTAAATGCAATACACTTTAGGCGATTTTCAATTACAGTTATGGAGATAGGTGTTTTTACACTCCTGCATCTCGCAGGATTCCTGCCACTGATAAGTCCCATACCAGGACGAAACGGCCGTCTAGAGCTTCCAGGTTTCTAATGGTGGTCTAATAATGACTGATTGATGATTTCAAATGTGTAAAACTTTAGGCTGATTTGCTGGAATTCCCTTGTCTACCTATTCAACTTTAGTCTTTTCAGGATATTCCATGACGATCATCTAATGTCATCAGTAAAATCCAATTTAACAGGGAGTTCTAGTTTAGGACATTACTTCCTAGTAACCTATTTTTTGTGTTTAGTAAGTCTCAATCCTTGATAGTAATTTGAAATTATTTTTTATAAAACAGTATAAACTACTTATAAGTAGTATAAAATATATAACAAAAATTATTCGAAACGATTTTTCACCCACTTGATCAATCCATTTAATAAGATTTTCAAAAAATTCTAGCCGTTGGTCAAACTCATTGAAATATTTTTCATAATCCGTTGAAGAATTTGATGATAGTTGCCTTTTTAATGCGGTTACTGTGGAATCAATAAGTTGAGTTTTTAAATTACATAACATATGTAAACGTTTAATAGAATATTCTATTTCTATCCAACAAACTAATTCATTGGTACATTGTACAGGTTTGTATACAACATCGCGTTTATTTGGATATGATATACATTTTATAGCGGTTGGTGTTGTTGTTGTTGTCAAGTTTTGAAGAGGTCTTGGAACTGGTGAGAATGATACTGATGATGATGATGATGTTAAAGTTTGTTCATTCATCAGCTCCATCATTGTGGTGATTAGATTAGTTGATGTTATCCAAGTACCAATTAGATAAATTGAACTATAAAATGTGAGGAAGAGAAGAGTTGGTTTGAAAAACGAAAAAAAATTTGGGCAAAAACTATTGGAACTAGTTAAATGATAAAGTATAGTTTTGGAGTTGTGAAGATTGTTTAATTTCAATGAAATTATAATAATTGGATTGGTGATTTTGTGGTGCTGTGGTGAGAACTACTTATAAGTAGTATATGACTTGAGTGTCAACGTAATGTCTGGTGGCAGCAGAAGATGGGGGAAGATCAAGAGAAAGAAAGAGTTAGAAAACAATGGAATTTGTATGAAATAGCATGAATAGTGAGTGACAATGGATTGATGTTTTGCAACAGGAACAGTCCAGTTCGATATGATGAACTGATAATTTGCAAATGAACGATTTACGATATGGTTTTCCGATTTTATTGAGTAACTGTGTGATTTTCGCGAAATACAATCCGGTTGCCCCACCTGTGTTCTCATTCACTACAATTTTATGACCCGTGATCTGACTGTAATGTGGGACGAGTGACTGAATACGCAATGAAACAAATCTTTTTTTCAATTTTTGTGTACTCGGGATGTTAGATCGCCAGAAATCACTTGGAATAGGTTGTAATTTAGGATTTTTGAGGTTTTCGAGCATAAGTTGCTTAGTTGACCTTCAGCTTACATTTCCCACTCGGAAAATCCTAAGGACGTTTCTATGATGTATAAATGAACTCGATTTATGTGCTTGTCAACCTTATATTTTCTGGATGCTTGTAGAATTTACTTTCTACGTCTTGTCAAGACTTCTTGATACAGTTAACCGGCCCGGGAACAATCGGATTAGAATCGCCTGTCGTGTTAACGGATCATTTGTCTTCACTCTGGTTTACCGACTAAGGTGAACTCGTAATAATAGCATTCAAGCATATCAATTGACGAGCATATCAACTATTTTTAAGCAAATCCTGTTTGTGTGACAGTGGTAGTAGGATACCAAATATGAATGTATTCAGTTAGATGAATTTACTTCAAATATTCAAGTAAAGAGACAAACAATAGAATGCCGATGTGAAGCAAAGTATAGCGGAGAGAGCAAGTGAGCCAGTTCGATCTGATGAGGTATGAATCAGTATTTATTATCAGACAAAAATAAGCTGAACATGTGATAGGCAAAGTAAGCAGTATACACACACTCAAAAAAAAATCAACCAAGATATAAGCGAATAATCGACAAAGTCAAAAGATGTATGAATAGTAATTCGGGAAGACGAGGCTGGTTAGTTTATCCGAAAGTTAAGACAAGATATGCGATATGAACATATTAGTACACACACTACAAGTTTTGAACTACCATTGAAAGCCTGGAAGCATTGGAAGTTCGTTTCTTCCTAGTGCGGGTTTCGTCAGTAGGTGTGAAGCAGTTTTACACAGAAATATAATTAATGATGGTCACGCGATATCGTGCATTGATTGAAGTTAAACATGAGCATTGGTAGATACTGACTAACTGGTTTAGTGGTTAAGTGTTCGCTTACGAAACCAAAGGTCCTTTGTTTATTCTTAGCTTACAAGGTCCTTGATTGTGCATTGCTACTGAGGAGTCTCTTTATTTGTTGAAGCAACCGTCCAGTGCTTCTAGACTTTCACCAGTAATCTATTATTCATTGGTTCATAATTTTCATCAATATTCAATATCTAGTTTACAAATACTTTTGTATGATCAAGGTCAAGGTCAACAGAACACAAGCTACGTGTGATACGCATGAGAAAAGTAGAAGAATAATTCACTTTTTCTATCACAAGTTTGTACTGATGATGTTGTTCTATAGAAGAACATTCAGAATATTTTGGGGAAGTTAGACCCCCAGAACTCACTTGCAAAAGGTCCTTATTATAGATTATTTAAGTTTTCACGCATAAGTTGCATAGTTGACCTTGAGATTACATATCCCAATTGGAAAATCATTGACTATTATTGGTTGATGAACTATTTTAGTACGCTATTCTTATGGCTCTCAACAAGGACGTCTCTATAATGTATAAATAAACTTGATTTGTGTGCTTGTCGACCTCGAATTTTCCGGACGCTTGTAGAATACACTCCCTACGTCTTGTCAAGACTTCTTCCTCTACCTAATGGGGTTTGGGACACTCGGATTAGAGTAACCTGTCGCGTCGCTGGATTATCGATCCCAGCTCTCTTTCACCAACTAAAGTGAACTCGTATCAGCTGACGTGGTTACTTACTTACGTACTTACACCGGTTACCCCCAATAGAAGAGGAGCATAGGCCGCCCACCAGCAGCATTCTCCAACCAACTCTGTCCTGGGCTTCTCTCTCCAGTTCTGTCCAATGTTTGTTCATTCCCCTCATATCTCTCTCTGTTTCTCGGCGTAATGTGTTCCTTGGCCTTCCAATTTTCCTTTTGTCTTGAGGGTTCCATGTGAGGGCTTGTCTCGTGACGCAGTTTGGTGCTTATCGTAGTGTGTGTCCTATCCACCAACTCCACCGCTTCTTCCTGATTTCTTCCTCCACTGGAATCTGATTTGTTCTCTCCCACAGTAGGTTGTTGCTGATGGTGTCTGGCCAACGAACCTGTAGTATTTTGCGTAGACAACTGTTAATAAATACTTGTGTCTTCTGGATGATGGCTTTCGTAGTTCTCCAAGTTTCCGCTCCATACAGTAGAACTGTCTTGACATTTGTATTGAAAATCCTGATTTTGATTGTGGTTCAAAGTTGTTTTGAGATCCAGATATTTTTCAACTGTAGAAATGTAGCCCTTGCTTTGCCAATCCGCGCCCTCATATCTGTATCGGATCCACCTTGATTGTCGATGATGCTGCCGAGATATGTAAAGGTGTTAACGTCCTCCAAGGCATCTCCATCAAGAGTGAATTGGTTAGCTCATATTATGTTGCATCGGAGAATTTAGCTTTTTCCTTTATGTATGTTGAGACTTGCTGCTACTGCTGAGGCTGCTGCTATACTTGTCGTCTTCCCTTGCATTTGTTGTTGAGTGTGCGATAGAAGAGCCAAGTCATCTGCGTAGTCCAGATCGTCCAGCTTCGTCCTAACTGTCCAGTTGATACCGTGATTCCCTCCAGATGTCGACGTCTTCATAATCCAGTCGATGACCAGGAGAAAGAGAAAGGGTGAGAGTAAGCAACCTTGCCTGACACCGGTCTTCACCTCGAAAGAGTCTGTTAGCTGTCCTCCGTGTACGATTTTGCAGTTGAATCCATCATAAGAATTCCGTATGATGTTGACTATCTTCTCGAGCATGCCATAAAGTCCAACAAGCCTCCACAGTGTTTTCCTATCCACGCTATCGAATGCTTTCTCGTAGTCGATAAAGTTGATTCTAGAGTGGTGAGTTCCATTCAATTGATTGTTCCACAATGATCCGTAATGTAGCAATTTGGTCAGTGATGTGGTTATATGCATTGGTATTATCCACTGGTTGCAATTTCTCACTAAAACATTGTTCGATGCCTAATTTCGCTAAAACTCAACAATCTCCACAACTACTCAATGAAAATTGTTATAAATAACAGCTTATTCATCAATGTTCAATGTTCAATTTTTTGAAAAAAAATTTCTGTTTTTAACTTACCTTAATCTTGTTGAATTTTTATCATTATTATTATTATTATTATTATTTTCATGATCATTTAATTTAAAATAATTCATAATTTTAAAAAATTCATCATTAGACATTTGATGCATTGATTGAACGTAGAATATAATAATCATGTCATTTTGTTGTTTCAATAAATTAATTGATTGTGATAAACATTCACTGAATTGATTTATGGAGGAGGCTGGATCATCATTATTATTATTATTATTATTATCGTTCGATAAATTAAAATGATACACTTTCAATGATGATGAACTGAATTGAAATAAAAAAAAATAGTAAAAGGAGTAATGTTAAAAGTAATCATTGTCAACTAGCTTTTATAAATTTAAATGTAAAACATTGAACTACTTATTACTTGTGAGTAGTTTGTGATTAGTGAGTAAATAATGATCAGTTTCATTTATTATTCATTTTGGTTATATAATGATGGTTGCTGTATTTTATTGATAAAAATTTGACCAGTGGAGTACAACCTTGTTACACCTGCACGTAAACACCTCAACTTGGTATACTTGAACTATTACGAGTCCGCCTTAGTCGGAAAACGAGAGCAAGGATCGAGGATCCGGTGACACGACATGCTACTCAAATCCGATTATCCCAACTTCCATATTGAGTAAAAGAAGACAAGACGTGATATCAAGTAGAACCTGTATTCTACAAGCATCCAGGTAGTACGAGGTCCGAATCCAGAAGAGAATCAGGATCCCGAACTAGGGATGCGGGACCGGGTCGGGGTCATAAAATGTTATATAAAATGCTTATTTATACATTTAGGTCGAATAGGAAACAGCATCGAAGTCTGTGACATTGACAGTTAGTTAAGTCGACCAATAGGAAGCGACATTTGAAGTGACATTGATATCTAGGACGATTATAAAATTGACCAGTAGAAATTAACTAATAAGAATCGACCTATAATTCTCTTAGGATATCGGATGAATATCCTAACAAACCTAATCGGAAGTAAGGCAGTAACAATCAAAGACAAAATGGGTGAAGTCACACAAATTACCTAGATTGATTAGAGTTATACATTAATACCGTTTGATGCCAGCTTAGTGATCAAGAGGTTAGGCAATTGCGAGTAGAAGTAGTCGTGGGTGCGCACTTTTGATGAGTAGTTCTATACCAGGAATAAACAGTCACCTTCTAGTACTTTCAGGGTTCTAATGGCGGTGGTCTAACAACAATGATTGATTCATGATTTCAGAAAAAAGCTGAAATATTCTTTTTCCTTAAGTGATTAATAAGTGAGTAGTGAATGACGAATGTTATTTTTATGTGATGTGATTATTAGTGCTGATTACATCTGTTTGTATCAATCAAGTTGTGATGTGACAATTATTCCAAGTGATTTATTATTGTATGCATGTCAGTCAGTTACAATGTAGAATTTCGTACATACGTACATCAGTTCAGGTTGTCATATCACGTTAGCTCAGAGACGCAATTGTCAGTTCAAATCCCATTGTAGTAGATGCAGTAGGAGTATTATCAGTAATGAAGAAGACTAGGGTTTGAAGATACTATTCAAGAAGTATGATTCCGTGAGATAAATTTAGGAAGAGAAAGATATTTTGATGATGAGAAATTCAGCAGGCTACAATTTGAGAGAACACAAAGAGTGGGTGCACCTGCGGCATTGCAAACGATTTTGAGCCATGTCATTCAAGGTCTCTAACCATCGGTGACTTTCGTCTCGCGGACCCCAGTCAGGTAGCCTGTGCCTACCAACATTGTATGCATGACGATGAGATGAATGGTAGTAGTTGGAGGTAACTGACAAAGAATCTTCAAACCTAGATCCTATCACTACATGGTAGTTCAAGCACTTGTAAATCCATCTCACTCCTACAAAAGGTTAGCTGCGACCCAAATCATTCATTAGTAATATTGAATGTTGAGGGATTCAGTTTGACAGATACCGTCAGCTCGTTCAAGACTACATGTACTTTTTTGGTTGACAATACCTAAATAACTAGGGAAACTAGGCAAAGCTGAGTTTCATTTCGACTAATCACTAAACATCACTCAACATCTCGATGACACTTCACGGCTTCTAAAAGTAACTCAACAACCTTAAAAAATCCTGTAATGAGGTGTCTGACACATTCTCAGAGCGGATACAGAAAGCTCGATTGGCTTTTGCCAACTTGTGTCATTTATGTCTTAGGCGTGATATCCGTTTGCTAACCAAAGGACGAATGTACTATATAGAAGTTCGCTGCATTCTACTTTACGGTTGTGAAACATGGCCAGTAAGAATAGAGGATATTCATAGGTTACTAGTATCCAAACACAGGTGCCTTCTAAACATTGTCCGTGTTTCCTGCGACCACCAAGTAAGCAATAGTGATGTTAGGAAACGGGTACTAGGTAAAGATGGCAGAGCAATAAATGAAGTGGTGAATCTTCATCATTTGAAGTGGTTGGGACATGTGTTATGTAAGCCCAACCACCGACTGCCTCGATGACCTGCCTTGTGATGTACGAGTAGGCTGGGAGAAAGCTAGAAGCGGTCAAACCAAAACATGGCACAAATCCATGAAGTTACTGACATGTGGAGTGAGTCATGTTGGTAAGTGTAGACTACCTGATTGGTGTCCACGAGATGATAGTCACCGATGGTTAGAGACCCTGAATGACATGGCTCAAAATGATGCATATGCATCCGTTCTTTATGTTCTCTCAAATTCTAACCTTCTGAATTCCTTATCACCTCTCCCTCTCTCTCTCTCTCTAACGTAATCTATTTCACTGAATCACACTTCTTGACTCATATCTTCGAACCCTAATCTTCTCCATTACTGCTAATACTTCTACTACCTCAACCAGTATGAGATTTGAATTGACAGTTGCATCTCTTTGCTAATGTAATATGGCAACTTGAACGGTGTTGTAAGCTCGTACGTACGTACATACATACGTACGTACTTTCTTAATAAGTTAAACAGTTAATATTTCATATCATTCAAACAAATTAAAAAGACAGCTGTTAAAGACATTATTATTTAAACAACTGATGTTTTAATGTTGTTTGTTGATTTCATTTCTTACATAATCTACTTTCTTTTTTTAAAAAAAAATTGTAAAATGAAATGTGTCCATTTTCTGATCAATTCTGATCAATTGGAACTATTGAACACAACCAAGCGCACGCGCGCGCGCGCGCGCGTAAAAAACTTAACAAGTAATGTTCTAGATTCAATACAAACAAACAAACAAACAGAAAGACAATAGAATAATTTCCCGTTTTTTGAAAAAAAAAATTACAAGTTGAGACAAGATAAATTGTTAGATTAAATCTTCAGTAGAAAATACTGTTTTTTAAATTTTTATCTGTTGTAATTCAAATGAAATCATTCATTTTTTGTTGCCTCAGTAAAACGAAGAAAGTCATTGCATAACAGTTGTTTACGCAAGAAGATACTGTGATACCGTTGGTCAGACAATATCAGAAAATAAAAATCAGCTCCTTTGAGCTAAAGAAGAAATTAGGTAGAAAGCGATTCAAGTGGATAGGATACACATGTTGAAGAAAACAACACGCTCCAACTACATCACAAGACAAGCATTCACTTGGAATCCTCAAGGCCAAAGGAGAAGAGAAAGACCAAGGAATACATTACGCTGAGAATTGGAAGCAGATTGTTGGGGGGACGTTAGATCACCAGAACTCACTTGGAAAACGTCTTAATTTTGTAATTTTATAGCTGGAATTTTGAATTCTTATGTTTTCGCTTTAAGAGACGCTTAGTTGACCTTGTGCTTATATTTCCCACTCGGAAATTCATTCTAGTATGAGACTCCACAATATTGCATATCTATGATTTTAGTAAAATAGCACTTTGATTAATATTTAAAATCACTCTGTTAGTTTCAGAGGTTTATAATATCGAACTTACATCAATGAATGATATTTCTCAACCTTCACCGAGTAATTACTATTGGCTAACATTGAGTAGTATGTTACTAGCGGTCTTATTGAAAAGATTGTGACTGGTGAACATTCAACCATGTTAGAAAGTTAGGTAAAGAATACTGATAACTAAGTAATATCACGAATCGATTGAAAATAGATGTTAAACCACTAGTCAGTCAGTCAACAACAGCATAGAACTTCGTACGTACGTACATCAGTTCAAGCTGCCATACTACATTAGCACAGAGATGTAATTGTCGTAGTAGAGGTAGTAAAAGTATTAGCAGTAATCGGAAAGAATAGGGTTCGATGATGTTATTCAAGAAGTATAATCTAGTGAAATAAAATTATGAAGAGAAAGAGAGAGGTGATGAGGAATTCAGAAGGTTACGATTTAAGCAAACACAAAAAATGAATGCACCTGTGCCATTGCAAACAGTTTAGAGCCATGTCATTCAGGGTGTCTAACCACCGATTATTATCAGCTCGCGGACCCCAACCAGGTAGTCTACACTTACCAGCTTGACTCAGTCCAGTTGTCAGTGGCTTCAGGGATTTATTTATGCCATGCCTTGTTTTGGCCACCCCTAGATTTCTTACAACGTATTTCTACATCGCAAAATATAGTTCAACGAGGCATTCGGTGGTTTGGCATACGTAACACATGTCCCGACCACTTCAAGTGATGAATTTTCAATACTTCATCAACTGGTTAGTCATTCCTATCTAGTACTCATCTCGGTTGTCCCAGGATATATGAGTAATGCTTCGAAGACACCTATGATCGAAAACCAGTAACCTATGTATGTCCTCTACTCTTAACGGCCATGTTTCGCATCCGTATAGTAGGATGGAGCGAACTGCTGCACAGTACACTCGTCCTTTAGTCAGCAAAATGATATCTCGCCTACGCCATAAATGACGTATATTGGTGAAAGCCAATCGAGCCTTCTGTATCCGAGTTAAGATTTCGTCAGTCACCAGGCCATCAGCACAGGTGAGACTCCCCAGATAAGTGAATTGGTCTAGTCGCTCAACTACTTCATTTCCTATCACTAGTTTAGGTGCCTACGCAACCCAATCTTAAAGCCACATTTTGCATTTCGAGGGGGAAAACCGCATCCTGAACATGCTTGCATTGTTGCTTAGGGTAGTCTGAAGACTCTGGATTTTATCAGCTGCTTCACCCAAGTACAACTATGTCTTGTATAAAAATTAAGCATTCACTGCAAAAAAAAACTAATCGTAGTCTAGCGTTTAATCCTTAACGCCGCCATCGATGAGCACTGTTGAGACGGTCTTATACTAGGACCCTATAACTCTTTCTTTAATAATTCCCTCATATGGAACCCTCAAGGTCAAAAGGAAAAGAGGAAGTCCAAGGAACACATTACACGCCGAGATATAGAGAAAGATATGATTGGAATGAACAACAACTGGGCAGAACTGGAAATGGAAGCCCAGGACAGAGTTGGTTGGAGAAAACTGGTGTGCGGCCTATGCTCCTCCTCTATTAGGGGTAACAGGCGTAAGTAAGTAAGTAAGTCAGTCAGTTACAAAGTAAAACGTCGTACGTAAGTACTTCAGTTCAGGTTGCCATACCACATCAGCACAGAGATGTGATTGTCATTTCAAATCCAATGGCAGAAGAGGTGTATTAAGGGTATTAGAAGTAATCGGAGAGGTTATGATTAGAAGATATTTGTGTTATTCAGTGAGAAAAGTTTAGAAAGTCAAAACTAGAGGGGTTGAAGAATCCAGAAGATTAGGATTTGAGAGAACACAAAGAATATATACACCGACGCCACTGCGAACGAATTTCAGCCATGTCATTCAAGGTCTCTAACCATCGATTATTATCATCACGCGGACCCCAACCATGTAGACCACAACTACCGACATGGCTAAGTCCACTCGTCAATGACTTCATGGATTTGTGCCATGTTTTGGTCTGGCCGCCCCTAACTTTCGTCCAACTTCTACACTACAAAACAACGCTCGTCGAGGCAGTCGGTGGTTAGGCATACGCAGCACATGTCCCAACTACCTCAACTGATGAAGTTTCATTACTTCATCTATTGATCTGCCATTCTTACCTAGCACCCGTTTCCTAATAACAGCGTTGCTCACTCGGTGTCCCACGATATACGAGCAATGCTTCGAAGACATCTATGATCAAAAACCAATAACCTACGAATATCTTCTACTCTCATTGGCCATGTTTCACAGCCATAAAGTAAGACGGAGCGAAGTAAGTAAGTAAGTAAGTACTAGTGAATGAATATCTGTCTAACTAACTAAAAAATCTATTCATTACAACAAAAATAATCATGAAATTTTTCAATCATTCTTTAAAAGCAAACCAAAAAAGATCAATAATTCATTTTGTACAGCTTACTTTAAACTTGAATTTAGATGATCATGAAATGCATCAATAATTGTATTCAAATATAATTCTTCTGTATCATAAAATATCAAAAAATGATATATGGATAGTAATTCTAAATAAAAATATAAAATTTCACGATGCAATGAAGTTCTAATAATTAAATTATTTAAATTTTTAAATATATTTGATAAATCACATTGATTTTGTGGTTGTTGATGCACGGAATCCGTTAATAAATCCGCTTGTTCATTATTGTTCAATGTACAATGTTCAATGGATAATTGAACAATTGATTGTTTCGAATGAGATTGAAGGAGATCAATTAAATTTTGAGGATTTTCAATAGTTTGTTGATTAAATTGAATTGAATGATTTGGTGGTGGTGGTGGTGGATTTTTGTTAAATTCAAATTTCCATGTACAATCGAGTGTATCTATATACAAGTGATATTGTTTTAACTCATTAGTTTCAAGGTCATTCGATTGATTCGAATATAAATAAGTGGAATATAAATTATATAGATTTATAAGTGAATTAGTGATTGAATTCCAACTAGTTAATTTTGATAAACATAGTGTGCCAATATTTAAAGTGGATTTTGTTGATGAATGAACATGATGGTTCTGATTAGTTTCGGTGTTTGTTAAAATAAGATTAACTGTTGCGATTAATGAATTTTTTAAATCAGTTTTTATTTCTGAAAATCCAATGAATAAACCTGAAAGAAAAAAATAAATAAAATGAAACTAAGTTAAGTTAAGGAATTTAATTTACAACTGATCGATTACTGAGTAGTGGCTCATGTCATGTATGTCAGTTATAAATTGTTACGTATGCGTTTCCGAGACGCAGCATACATCGATTGAGCGAGATTCCAAAGCCCTAGCCAATGAAGCCTGTTGCCCTATTCGACACAATGTCCGTACATTAAATGCTCCAACATGTAGTTTGGAACGGGGTTTCAGGAGACCAGAAATGATGTTTCGTGAACTCGCATCGTTTGCATTAGCTGTGCACTGTGATAAATGAATGTGAGAAGAGTTAGTCGTGGACATAAGAGAGGTATTAGGGGATGTAGGAAGGATTTGATTATGACCGATTTGGTGTCGTGTGCTGTTACGGGTATGAGGGCGGTCGCCACTTCCAGGCTGCCCACACAGTGGAAGGTTGTTTCTTGAGGGACCTGAAAAGGTAGATAGATTAGTGTTGATCTTAACGACCTACGAGCGTGACCGCAGAGATCAAGGGACACCTGCTTGAGGCCAGTCACGCACGGACTTTTTATGAAGGGATTTTTGAGAATTAGCTCCGCTCTTGAAAGCCCTTAGTGGGCACCCAAGGAGACGGAAATCCGTGAGGTAGGGTGAGGTGTGACATTTTTAGGGTCGACCTTTTCTAACCCTTCCTTCCTTCCATGTGGGAAGGCAGCATCGCTGCAGATGCTGGTTGTCTGAGGGAAACACCTTACTGCTGTCACACTGCAGTCAGCAGTACGACCTCGTTCTCAGACCTTAAGTAGCTGGTTTTAGTCTCATCGTTCTCCAATGGACCTGCCTGACATGGTAGAACCTACACGAACATATGTTCCAGCCAATATAGCTCGGTTGAGTCATTACGATAGTCAAGCCTGACCACCACTTCAAGGTAGCAGCTTCGGTCGTATGCACGTAAACACGTCATTTGATATGCCTGTACTATTATTACGAGTTTACTTTAGTCAGTAAATGAGAGCGAGGATCGAGGATCCGGCGATACAACAGGCTACTCTAATTCAAGTGTCCCGACCCCCCACTGAGTAACAGAAGAAGACTTGATATTAAGTAGAACATGTATTCTACAAGCATCCAGAAAGTACGAGGTTCGAATCCAGAACAGAATCAGGATCTCGGACTAGGGATGCGGGTCCGGTCCCTAAAACGTTACAGATAATGCATATTTATACAGTTAGGTTGAATAGGAAACAACATTGAAGTCTGTGACATTAATAGCTAGAACGACCATAATATTAACGAGTAGGAAATTGACCAATAGAATTAGACTTACAAAAATAATTCTTTTAGGAGATATATGATGAATATCCTATAACATAAGTAACGTAGGATCTGGCCCAAACGTCCACTAGTTCATATTAAGGTGATATCAACTTGTGCTAACGATAAAAATGAACAGTTATCAATTTCTAACTGTTCACACAGACCAATTTAAAATATTAGATACTATAGACTAGGAGTGGTTGTATCTACCTGGGAAGTGTGACTGAGCAGACAACTAAGGTAGGCCCCTCATGTACATCATTCCGATATTTGTTCCGTACTTTTGAGGCAGAAATCCATATGGCAATGTTGAGCATTCTTTCATAGGGTCAACCTTTTTTTAATCCCTGTTTCTATTTTTTTTTCAGGAAGCCATTATCGTCGCTAATCCGAGAGGTCTAAAGGAAATAGCTTACTTACTTATACACCTCAGTATAATCATAAATAAGACTTCATGTGTAAACTTTAATTTTACCTCCTGCAGCCTTAATGTTTTCTAGTCGATACACCTAACAGAATAGGACAATGAGAAAGGAATGTACCAGACAGTAATGCTTCATTGGTTAAATATGATATGCGAATCTGACCAACACTTCAAGGTAACAGCTATAATTGAAATAAAAATTAACTACAGGTCAGCAACATCGTAGAGCTTCATGAGTATGTACGTATATCACAGTTCAAGTTGTCATACTACATTAGCACAGAGAGATAAATTAGTCAATTCAAATCCCATAGTGGTGTAGGTAGTAGAAGTATTGTGGTGTGTGCTACTTATACGAACAATATAAGTAGTATAAGAAGGGACGTGAAAGAAGAAGTCTCACGGTCACTAGAGGAAAACGGAAAGCAAATGGAGCAAAAGCAAGAAGTAAATGGAGTACCAACAGGAAGTAAAGGAAGCAACAGCAGGAATGGAAGAAGGCTGGAGAGTTGGAATTCAGGACTCAAAGATGGTGTGCAAATAGAGTGTTCAATGTAATGTTTTCGTTTTTAATTGACTAAGAGTGAAAATGTGCTAAATACAATCCATCGAACCTGCCTCAGTCTTCTCAATTGATACCATGGCCTCGGAAGTTTGAAGACGGAGATGTAGGGGGCTGCTTGAAGGAGTTCGAGGCCGTGGTGGTGCTGGGGACTCTACTAAGAGGCAGGGCGAGAGCGGTGTGCGATAGTGAGGAGGACGCTGACTGGAAGGTGGTGACGGAAAGGCGGCCGGTGGAGTTCGACAGCCCGGCGGATAGGCGGGATGCGCTGCAGAAGTTCCGAGAGGCGCGACTGTCGGTGGATGGCGACCCACTCGTGCTGGCCGTGGAGTTGACAAGATTGCTGCCCCGGGGTCTGCCGAATTCGGATGAGGAGTCGCAAGCACAGCTGCTAGCCTCTCAATTCATTGAAAGTGTGCCTGGTGAGGTTGGCCAACAGTTGAGACTGGTGAACGCGGCACAGCCGATGGACGTCACCGAGCTGGTGAAAGTAACAAGACAACTGATGAACTCAACAGTCGCCTCGGGGGCGTGTTAGAGACAGGCGGATGATGTCGCGAAGACGATAGAAGAGTTACAACGCGAGGTGGCAGCGTTACGAATAAAGGGTGGAAGAAATAATAAATGCTATATTTGCGGAGTAACCGGACATTCGAAGAGGAATTGCCCAACAAGACGAAAACATTACATTGAACACTCTATTTGCACACCATCTTTGAGTCCTGAATTCCAACTCTCCAGCCTTCTTCCATTCCTGCTGTTGCTTCCTTTCCTTCCTGTTGGTACTCCATTTACTTCTTGCTTTTGCTCCATTTGCTTTCCGTTTTCCTCTTCTGACCGTGAGACTTCTTCTTTCACGTCCCTTCTTATACTACTTATATCGTTCGTATAAGTAGCACACACCACAGCATGAGCAGTAATTGGAGAGATTAGGGTTCGAGGATATTATTCAAGAAGTATAATCTAGTGAAATAAACTTTAGAAAGAGAAAGATGAAGGTTATGAGGAATTTTAGAAGATTAGAATTTGAGAGAAGCCAAAGAGTGGATGCACCTGACAGACAAAAAGATACAACGCAGAACTTTGTACGTAAGTACATCAGTTCATGTTGCCATACCACATCAGCACAGAGATGCAATTGTCAATTCAAATCCAAGAGTGATAGTGATAGTAGAAGTATTAGCAGTAATGGAGAAGATTAGGGAGTGAAGATATGATTCGAGAAGTATAATTCAGTAAGATAAATTTAGAAGGAGAAAGGTAGAGATTATGAGGAATTCAGAAGGTTAGAATTAGAGAGAACACAAAGAGTGGATGCACTTGCGCCATTGCAAACGATTTTGAGCCATGTCGTTCAAAGTCTCTAATCATCGGTGACTTTCGTCTCGCGGACCCCAACCAGGTAGTCGACACCTACTGACATGGCTCAGTCCTGTTGTCAGTGACTTCATGGATTTGTGCCATGTTTTGGTTTTACCGCCCATATCTTTATTCCAACCTACTCCTACACTGCAAAACATAGCTCATTGGGATGCACCTGCATCATTGCTGGCGATTTTGAGCCATGTCGTTCAGTCTCTAATCATCAGTTACTATCATCTCGCATAGCTCAACCAGATAGTCTACATCTATCAATATATATGAACAATTAACTGTCACATGTTTGATGTCATGATGAGTTACACGGTAAGTCATTAACTAACACAGATTTAATTTTCATTATTAGGGTATTGTGAAAATTGTTGAATTTCATTCAAATCAATCAATTGATCAACGTCAGACCATCCTGTGTGAAACTTAAAAAATCTCCACAAACCTTGTAATGACAATTATCATGTTGGTCACTGGTAACTTGCTTCGCGAGAAAATGCTCGAAGTTCTAACAAGAATCTGTGACCAGTGGAGTTCAACCCTGTTGGGTGTGAGGCAGTTACCCACCGAAGACAATAGATAAAGTTGCGCAATATCATGATGTGATTACAGGTAGACATTAGCACTGCTGAATGTCAGCTTAGTGGTCTAGAGTTTAAGTGATTGTGTAAGAGACCAAGAGTCCTAGGTTCGGTTACCACGAACAGAGATTGTGGATGTGCACAAATGATGAGTTGACCATTCAATGATTTCCAGTTTCCAATAATGTCACTGGTTGATATATTATTTTAGTAGGCTATTTTGTAGTTCTCATCAAGGACGTTTCTCTGATGTATAAATAAACTCGATTTATGTGCTTGTCAACCTTGTATTTTCTGGGTGCTTGTAGAATACACTTTCTACGCCTTATCAAGACTTCTTGATATAGTTAGCAGGGCCTGGGAAAAAGGATTAAAAGAGTCTATCATGTCACTACATCGTTGATCTTCGCTCCGTTTACTGAGTAAGTTATCAGTTGACGAGGATATCAGTACGCATCCACAATTTCTGTTACTTGTAAAATTCGAACCTAGGACCTTCGGTCTTGCGCGCAAACGCAAAATCTCTGGGTCGTCATCCAAAAAGCATCCAATGTCTAAATCTGATCAATCCAGGGATTCTCCGCAACGACACTGTTAGGATACTCATCCAATATCCTAAGAGAATTGTTGGTCAATTCCTATTGGTCGATTTCTATTGGTCAAAATTATGGTCGTTTTAATTCTCAAAGTCAAATACTTAAATGTTGTCTCTCATTGGTCATCCGGACTGTCAATGTCATTTCAAATGTTACCTCCTATTGGTCGTCTTAACTGTCAATGTCACAGAATTCGATGCTGTTTCACATCCGACCAAAACGTATATATACGCATTATCTTGTACTTTGTACCTTGTACTTTCTGGATGCTTGTAGAATACACGTTCTACTTCATATCATGTCTTCTTATTTTAACTAAACTAATCGGATTTGAGTAATATGTCGTGTCACCGGATCCTGGCTCTCGTTTCCGACTACGGTAAACTCGTAATAGTTCAAGTATATCAAGTTGACGTGTTTACGTGCAGGCGTAACAGACACCCGTTTGTCTTCGATAGTTACTGCCTACATACAACAAGATTGAACTCCACTGAACACGTATTCTCACCAAAACTTCGAAAATTTTCTCACGAAGTTAGTCACTAGTGAGTACATTGTACATTTGAATACTGATTATTATTTTTAATCATTCCACTATAGAGTATGTGTTTTTCAATGATGAATACTATGATTTTCAGTTGTGAACAGGCTGACTGATATGCTTGAATTCTATTACGAGTTCATCTTACTTGCTAAACGGAACGAAGAGCAACGATCCAGTGACACGATAGGCTATTCTAATCCAATTTTCACAAGCCCCGCTAGCTATAGCAAGAAGTCTTGATAAGGCATAGAGAGAATATATTCTACAAGCACTCCAGAAAATACGAGGTCCATAAGCACACAACTCCAGCTTATTTGTATAATAATAGAAACACTCTGGGTGAGAGCCACACAAAAGCGTACCAACCAATGACAATCAAGGATTTTCCAAGTGGGAAATATAAGCTTGAAGGTCAACTAAGCGTCTCTTGGCGCGAAAATAAAAATTCAAATTTTCAGAAATGAATTACAAAATTAGGACCTTTTCCAAGTGAGTTCTGGGCATTTAACGTCCTCAACACTGGCCAAAAAAATCCTTAAAATGAAAGAATTTCTGTTATCCTTTTTTTTTTTTAAAAAAATTGCAAACTAAACTTACTTGAACCAGGAATACATTCATTCGGTATTCTGTCTGTATTACATAATATTGACATGGGGTCATTTTTATCCTCATCATCATTATTATTACGTAATCCAATGGAATTCTGTGTGAAATTCATTGAAAGTATTGTCTTTGGCAATGAATTACAACGTGTACTACTACTGATTACCATAGGATTAGTAGTAGTAGTAGTATTTGTGACAGTAGTACAAGTTGTAGCAGTACATTGTAATTGTAAATGTTGTTGCTGCTGGTGTTGTTGTAAATGTGTCACTAACAATTGTAATCTTTCATTATCTGTACGAAAATAATTCAGCTGAGCGTACAAACGTGTTAATTCATCTTTCATCTGATTCAACTGATGTGCACTAGCTAATGCTTCCAACTGGACATCGGTTAATTTTGATTCTTTTTCAGCTAATTGACATTTTAATTGGTGTAGTTCATCGCTTGGACAAGTGGACTGTTTCATTGATAATCTATGAGAATAAATGAAAACCAGTTTAAATAATTTTATGCTCGTCACCAGTTTATATGCTTGAATGCTAGCTATTACAAGTTTACTTTAGTCGGTAAACAAGAGCGTCGATGTTACGCCTGCACGTAAACACGTCAACTTGATATACTTGAACTATTACGAGTTTACCTTAGTCGGAAAAACGAGAGCGAGGATCGAGGATCCGGTGACACGACATGCTACTCAAATCCGATTATCCCAACCCCCATATTGAGTAAAAATAAGAAGACGTGATATGAAGTAGAACCTGTATTCTACAAGCATCCAGAAAGTACGAGGTCTGAATCCAGAAGAGAATCAGGATCCCGGACTGAAGATTCGGGTCGTAAAACGTTACAGATAATGTGTATTTATACATTTTGGTCGAATGGGAAACAGCATCGAAGTCTGTGACATTGATAGTTAAGGCGAACAATAAGGAAGCAACATTTGATGTGACATTGATAGTCAGGACAACCAATAAGAAATAACATTGGAGCACGTGACATTGATATCTAGGACGACCATAAAATTGACCAGTAGGAATAGGAATTGACCAATAATTCTCCTAGGATATTGGATGAATATCCTAAGAGTCGAGAAATAATGATTCAATGACACTGTAGTGAAGGAGAACCCAGGTGGGACAATTGAATTGTATTTAACGAAAATCACAGTTACTCAGTAAAATAGGAAAACCATATCGTGACCGTTAATTTGCAAATCTTCAATCAATCATCGGTCCATTGTCTGACATTTCACTATTCATGCGTTTCATACAAATTTCATTGTGTTCCCACTCTTCCTTTCTTGCTTGATCTTCCCCCATCTTCTGCTGCCACCAGACATTACGTTTATACTCACGTCATATACTACTTATTAGTAGCGCACACCACAACACGATAGGCTACTCGAATCCGAGTGTCCTGAAGCCCCACTAAGTAGAGGGAGAAGTCTTAATATTGGCATAGAAAGTGTATTCTACAAGCAGCCAGAAAATCGAGGTCAACTGATTATCCCATGCGCGAAAGCATAAAATTCAAAATTAGGAGCCTCATCAAGTGAGTTCCGGGGATCTAACCTCTCCAACATGATAGGGAAAGCGAGCAAAAGTGATAGCCAGAAAAGGAGAGAGAGATAGGTCTTTATGCTGATCAATGATCCTGTCAAGCTGTACACACAGGATTCTACATATTCCAAACCTTCTTCATCAAGTGTGATTTGTTGATGTATGTAGTGTTGTATCGGAGGATTTAGCTTTTTCCCTTGTGTACTGCTGCGTCAGAGGCTGTTGCTACACTGGTTGTCTTCTCCTACATTTGATGTTGCGTATGGGAGAGAAAGGCTAGATACCACTCATCAATAATGAACACCAATAACCAATGTCATTATTGAAACAGTCATTACAGATGTGATTCAATAATTATTGACAATTTCTAACCATAACACATACTTCCCACACATAAAATAAAAGTCCCTTCATTAAAGAAGACAGTCGATATGACAGGTGTCAGTTCTTTCTCGGTTACTTTTTTAATGGTTGAGTTAGGTTCGAAGAAGTATATCTGTTGTACCAATGGGGCTTGTCTCAGCTTTTGGACAAACTAATGAACCTTTAATGCTTGAGTTACTAGTCACATGTCTTTTGACTTTGTGAATTATTCTCTCATAGCCTTGGTTCTTTTTATTCCAGTAGTGTCCATCAATGATCAGTTCCTGTTATGTTCGTCACTAGGTATGCCTGAAGCGATTACGAGTTCACCTTAGTCGATAAACGCGAACGAGACAATTACCAGCTTCCAAGTAGGCTAACTTGAATCCCAGGTTGTAAAACAGAAGTCTTGGTAAGCGTAGAAAGTATATTCTACAAACACCCAGCAATCACAATACAATCAAGCACACAACTCTCGTTTATTTATACATCATAGAAACTTCTTTGGGACAGTTACGATAATAGCACACTAAAATACACAGCAGACAGTCACACAGCCATGGATTTTCCTGGTGGGAAATGAAATCTCAAGGTCAACTGATCAGCCCATGCTCGTGAACGTGAAATCCAAAATAAGGGCATTTATAAAACGAGTTCTGGGGATCTAACATCTCCAACAGTTCCAAACTTGAACAGGATGATTGTCTAGCTAATGTCATCTTAGACTTTGTATCTCATACGCAACAATAAATGCTGGAGACGACAACCAGTGTAGCAACGCTGTCAACATACACAAGTGAAAATTTAAGATCATTCGATACAACACTACATGCGCCGACGAAATCACACTTGAAGGAGATGCCTTGGAGGACGTAGAAACCTTTACATATCTGGGTTGCATCATTGAAGAACAAGGTGGATCTGATGCAGATGTGAAGAAATGCATTTGAAAAGCAAGAGCAGCATTTCTACGATTGAAGAACATCTGCAACTCAAAACAACTATCAACCAAGAACAAAGTCACAATGTTCAATATAAATGTCAAGCCAGTTCTGTTGGATAGAGCGAAAAACTTGGAGAATCACGAAAGCCATCGTTCATAAGACATTAGTTTTTGTTAACAGCTGTTTACGAAAGATTCTACAGATTTGTTGACCATACACTATCAGCAGCAATCTACTGTGGGACAGAACAAATCAAATTCCAACTGAGGAAGAACTAACCCTAACACAGTTGGATGCTTGCCCAATGGTCCAGAGGTTGGACGTTCTCACGCAAGACCGAAGATCCTGGGCTCGAATCCTGAGAGATGCAGTAGTTCAGGTTTATAATCGTAGTCTAACAATGATTGATTGATGATTTTTAGTGTGTAAAGAAAACACTGATCTCCATAACTCTGCTTGAAAGAAATCATATGACAGTATTTATACAGTCAACTCCTGCTGTAGACCGTTCGGGGCTACTGCCGGTCCCAAGTCCGAATAAAGAAGGAAGGTTGGGCATGGGGTTGGCGACCCTATCACACAGAAAAACAACTCGCTAAATAAACGCTGACAAGAAAAAATAATTCAAACTATATAAACCCTGCTCTGGGAATTTGAAGATCTTCATTTAGAAGTGTTTTGACGTCTCATGATGAAAGCCTAGTTCCTTCGTAAGTCATGAGGCAGATACCCATTCTAAAAACTAGAACCCTTCCACGTAGTGGGCAGCCGGGAAGTATTATCCGCCTTCATGCCCATAAAAGCACACGAGATCAAATCGGTCACAAACAAATCCTTTCTACACCTCCTAATAACTCACTTATCTCCTCGATCAACCCTCGACCAACAGTCATGAAACTACTTACAACTACACATCCATGAACTTACAATCAGTTTGGAGCATTAATGCATTCAACTCTTGCCCGTCAATATTCACTTATCACTTGAAATAAATTAGACCAACGAAAAATCAACAATGAAAGCATAAACTTACTCGAATTGATTATCAACATTGTTGTTTGGAATATTTCCAGTTGCACTTTCGACCACAATTGAAGATTTACTCTGTTTATCTAACTGATTGTGAATTGAATACATTGGATGATTGAGTTGATTCATCGGGGCTGGACGATGATTTTGTTGTTGTGGTACGATTCGTGTATTGGGTAAACGATCTAATGCAAATTTTAATTAAGGAGAAAAGAAAATTACGAAAGTTTTATATTTAGATATGAAATTTTTCGAAATTTGAAATCATCAATCAATCATTGTTAGACCACCACTAGAAATCTGGAAGCACTGAAAGACGGCCATTTCGTCCTGGTATGGGACTCCTCAGTGGCAGTGTGCATCCGCGACTCCTGCACCTCGCAGTATCTGAACCCCAAACCTTCGCTCTTGCGTGCAAATGTCTAACCTCTGGACCACTGGGCCATAATCCAACTGTGTTAATGTCTAACTCTGATCAATCTAGAGATTTTCCACGACCTCACCCATTTGTCTTTGGTAGTAGTTACTGCCTACCAAATAGAGAAAGGCCATCTCAGCAAGTGTAAGAACTACAGAGGCATCACTCTTCTTTCAATACCAGGCAAAGTCTTCAACAGGGTATTGTTAAACAGAATGAAAGACTTCGTAGACGCCCAACTACGAGACCAACAGGCCGGATTTCGTAAGGATCAATCGTGTTCTGACCAAATTGCAATGTTACGGATCATTGTGGAACAATCAATAGAATGGAACTCACCACTCTACATCAACTTCATCGACTACGAGAAAGCATTTGATAGCGTGGAAAGGAAAACACTGTGGAGGCTTCTTCGACACTACGGTGTGCCTGAGAAAATAGTCAGGATCATAAGGAATTTTTATGATCTATTCAACTGCAAAATCGTACACTATGGACAGCAAACAGACTCGTTCGAGGTGAAGACCGGTGTCAGGCAAGGTTGCTTACTCTCACCCTTTCTCCTGGTGATCGACTGGATTATGAAGACGTCGACGTCTGGAGGGAAGCACGGTATCAACTGGACAGTTAGGACGCAGCTGGACGATTTGGACTTCGCAGATGACCTGGCTCTTCTATCTCACACGCAATAACAAATGCAACAGAAGACGACCAGTGTAGAGGCAGCCTATGCAGCAGTAGGTCTCAACATAAATAAAGGAAAAAGCAAAATTCTCCGATACAACACAACATGCACCAATCAAATCACTCTTGATGAAGATGCCTTGGAATAAGTTAACACCTTTACATATCTGGGCAGCATCATCGACAACCAAGGTGGATCGGATGCAGATGTGAGGGCACGGATTGGCAAAGCGAGGGCTGCATTTCTACAGTTGAAAAATATCTGCAACTCCAAACAACTTTCAACCAAAACCAAAATCAGGATTTTCAATACAAATATCAAGACAGTTCTACTGTATGGAGCGGAAACATGGACAACTACGAAAGGCATCATCCAGAAGATACAAGTGTTTATTAACAGTTGTCTACTCAAAATACTTCGTATTCGTTGGCCAGACACCATCAGCAACAGCGTACTGTGGGAGAGAACAAACGAGATTCCAGTGGATGAGGAAATCAGGAAGAAGTGCTGGAAGTGGATAGGACACACACTACGAAAAGCACCCAACTGCGTCACAGGACAAGTCCTCACATGGAATCCTCAAGGTCAAAGGAAAAGAGGAAGGCTAAAGAACACACTACGTCGAGAAATAGAGAAACATATGAGAGGAATGAACAAACATTGGACAGAACTAGAAAGGGAGGCCCAGGACACAGTCATTTGGCGAAAACTGGTGGGTGGCCTATGCTCCATTGGGGGTAACAGGCGTAAGTAAGTAAGTAAGTAAGTAAGTAAGTATATAAAAAGCTATTTACTTATTCTATGTCGTAAACAACGCATGAATACATTGTGTTAACACACATAGATTTATGTATTCACAAATAATTATTGTACAGTTTCTATTTTTTCTATAACCTAGAGAGAAAAAATACGGTTGATTGAACTAACGAGCGAGAGCGATACACATTACACAGAAGAAATGTAAGATAAAACCAAAACAATTTTTTAGTGTTTTAAAACATTCTTTTGTAATTGCACGCACTTGCACCCTTGCCTACACACACGCGTACATACACGCTGAATCAATAGCATGAATGTGTAGGTAGCACAAATATGATAGAACATTCTGTTATTGTTACAAATGCAGGTAACCATTACGAGTTTACCTTAGTCGAAAAACAACAGCGAGGATCGAGGATCCAGCGACACGATAGGCTACCCTAATCCGAGTGCCTAGACCCCCATATTGAGTGAAAATAAGAAGACAAAACTTGATGTGAAGTAGAATGTGTATTCTACAAGCATTCAGGAAGTACGAGAACCGAGTCCAGAAGAAAATCAGGATCTCGGAATAGGGATCCGGGACCGTGCCCTGGTCCTGGTCATAAAAAGTTACAGATAATGCGTATTTATATAGTTAGGTTGAATAGGAAACAACATTGAAGTCTGTGACATCGACAGTTAGGACGACCAATAGGAAACAACAATTGATGTGACATTGATAGCTAGGACGACCATAAAATCGACCAATAGGAATTAACCAATAGGAATTGAACCAATAATTCTCTTAGGATATTGGATGAATATCGTGACAGTTACAAAAGCAGTGATCAGTGGAGTTTAACCATGTTGAATATGATGAGGCAGTTACCTAACGAAGTCAATGAGTGAGGATATGCAGTAGGTTGTATTGATTCAAGTTACACATGAACACTGTTGGATGCTTGCTCAATGGTTTAGAGGTTAAGAGTTGGCAGGCGAGACCGAAGGTGTACTGGGTTCGATTTCTGCCAGTAGTGGGAGTTATGGATGCGTACTGCCGATTGGTTCCATAATAGCACGAGACGTTCGTCCAGTTCTTTTAAGTTTCTAATAGTTGTCTAACAATCTGATTGATTCATGATTTCAATGAAACTAAAGAATCGTATTAGTTGAAAATTGATCATCTCATCTGTACTTAATGAAAAGACTCGAAAAGTGCTGAGTTAACTGAAATGAAACTGGTCTCATATTGGCCTATTTCTGTGTAGTTCTTAATGCATTCAATTTGCACTTTAGAGGCTTCACCTACCGATAACAGTAATCTCAGTCAGTCGTACGTGAGTACATCAGTTCAGTTTGCCATACCACATCAGCACAGGGACGGAATTTTCGGGACCTTTCGATCAACAGAGTCGAATGCAGCTTCAAGATTGAGAAATACTACTACTGTGGGGAGTATGAAAGTGTGTGTTTGTTCTAGGACCTGACATAGCGGGAACATCTGGTCTAGATATCCACGTCCAGGTCGAAAACCAGACTGGTTTTCTCGAGTCTACTCCTAACGAGCTGAAGTTAGGCATCTAAGTACTATCGAGGCTAATAATTAAGACACTATATTATTGAGGTTGATTCCTCTGTGAATGTCACAAGAGGACTTTCATCCTTTCTTAGAAATTGGGACAATCAGCGATTGAAACCAGTCAGATGGAATTACGTCCAGTTCCAAGATTGTACCTCAGACCTCAGTCAATCTACCTGTTAGAAATGGACCACCATCCTTAAAAATCTCTGGAGTAAACTTGTCGGGCCCTGAAGCTCACCCTCTCTTCAGACTTCCTATAGCTTTTTCAGCTTCTTAAATACTCACAGGCCTTATATCATCAATTTGCTATTCAAGATGACTGGAGATCATGGATGGATTCCTAATGCCGGTTTCCTTATTCTTCTATTTTGAAAAGGTAGTAGTGTTTCAGATGCTTGATTTCGATTTTAAAAAGTTTTCACTGTCATCACGCACACACAGTACAGTCGAATGTACAACTTCTCATTGAGATCTTAGTCTCATCGCATCCTAATCGATACGTCTAACATGTTGGGTTAGGGTGTAAACGAACGAGCTTATCAAAATTTACAAATCGCATCAATACATCAAGGTAACATCTGTGATTGAGAGTTGAAATCTAAACCAATCAATCTCACATTTCTTCCCTCTGATTTAGAAACTTATCGATCACATTTCTCAATGAACTTCAGCGATGAAGCGTTAAACTATGATGAATAGATAAAGCTTGAAAAGTGACAAACTAGTACACAATGAACAACACAAGGAAAAAAATAGCTTCTTTAATCGGTCTTAAATAGCTATCCCTGGAACTCTACGATCGAACTTCCAGATAGCTTACAAACTAATATTAATCTATTCTGCTTTCCAAGTCCTTCAAAGAGAAGTATCCTTACACAGTGTGTAGTCAGCTAAGAAGTCACAATCACCCACAAACCTTTAAAGCATTGGAGACTGCCTTTTTTCATTATCAAGGTAATAGAAATTTACAAATCTATATTCAAACTGATCGAAATCTGTTTTCAGTTGCTAGTCGTAGTAGTAGTAGTAATTGTTAATTGGTTATGAAAACTGTTCAGTTATTTCATGTTGAACCAACTAAAAATTGAAGTTGTGTTGTTGTAATTTTTGGCGTGTGTGTGTGCTTGTTATTTTAGGGTTGACCTTTTCTAACCCTTCCTTCCTTCCTTGTGAGAAGGCAGATGTTGGGGATGTTAGATCCCCAGAACTCGCTTGATAAATGCCTTATTTTGGATTTCACGTTTGCCAGCATGAGCTGATCAGTTGACCTTGAGATTTCATTTCCCACCAGGAAAATCCATGGCTGTGATTGGCTGTTGTGTATTTTATTATGCTATTTTCGTAACTGTCCCAAGGACGTTTCTATGATGTATAAATAAACGAGGGTTGTGTGCCCAATAGGTGTTGTAGAATATACTTTCTACGCTTACCAAGGCTTCTCTTTTACAGCTTGGGATTCAAGGTAGCCTACCTGGACGCTGGTGAACTCGTAATAGCCTCAAGCATACCTAGTGACAAACATTACAGCAGCATCGTTGCAGATGCTGGTTATCCGAGGGCAACACCTTACTGCTATCACACTCCTCCTCTACAGTCAACAGTACGATGTCACCCTCAGACCTTCAGTAGCTACTTTTAGTCTCATCGTTTTCCTATCGACCTGCCTGGCATGAGAGAACCTACGGGAACATTGTGTTCCAGCCAATATAGCTCGGTTGGGTCATCACGATAGGCAAGCCCGACAAGCACCATGTCAAGGTAGCATCTACGGTCGGGAGAAATAATAATAGCAGTAGTAGTAGTAGTGGTAGTACTAGTAGTA